CACTGGGGCATCAACTCCGTTATCCACTTACATCTCTACATTCAGTGAGAGGAGGGATCTCTCTGCTTAATTCATTCCTAGCACAGCACCTGACAGGTCGTAGGAGCTCAGTGAGTATTTGTTGAATAAACGAAGAATTGGAGAAAAGAATCCAGAAACCAGCTGGAGGTCACTGATTTAATGGAGGATATAGACAGCTTATAATTATATTTTTTATTTAAAAATATTTTATTGATTTTACACAGAGAGGAATTGAGAGGGACAGAGAATTAGGAACTTGATGAGAGAGAAAGATCGACCAGTTGCCTCTTGCGCACCCCCCCCCCCCCAACTGGGGATGTGCCCACAACCAAAGTACATGCCCTTGACCGGAATCGAACCCGGGACCCTTCAGTCCACAGGCCGACGCTCTATCCACTCAGCCAAACCGGTCCCAGTGGATATAGACAGCTGATAAACCAGTCCCCAAAAGGAAATGGATGCTGTTTACTCAAAAGCTTTGGAGTTGGCCATTCACCAGATGTGAAATGAGAGAGGGAGATGAAGTCCAAGACAGGCCTGGCCAGTGTGGCTCAATGGTTGAGCATTGACCCATGAACTGGGAGGTCACAGTTCAATTCCCAGTCAAGGCACATGCCTGAGCTTTGGGCTTGATTCCTAGAAGGGGATGTGCAGGAAGCAGCTGATTATTGATTCTTTCTCATCATTGATATTTCTCTCTCTCTCTTCCTTTCCCTTCCTCTCTCTGGTATCAAAGAAAACATTTTTTTTTTTTTTTAAGTCCAAGGCAATTCTGAGCCAGGGATCATAGACTCTGGTTTTAACTCCTGGCCTCCTTGCTTTCAATTCAGGGCTCCACCACCCCAAGCAAGTACTAAATATGGAGCTGAGGACAGAACTTCAAAACACACATTCTCACATGGGGGCGATGTTGACCACAAACAGGTAAAAATTAATTCTTGGAGGAGGAAAAAAAATCAGATATTACAATATTTTGTAGCCCTCCAAAGTGATACCTTCTTCAACAAAATCTTATCCCCTAGTGTTTAATTTCTCTTCTTAGGATGAAATTAAATTAAATAAAAAATTTCTCCTTAGGAGGAGGACAATACTGAATTTTCTTAAAAGGTTAAGAAACACTGAATTCAAAGATGAAAGTTTGCTCAGTGGTTAGACTGTTGTCCCTCGGACTGAAGGGTTTGAGATTTGATTCCAGGTCAAGCTCATGCACTCAGTTGTAGGTTCATCCCTGTCCCTAGTGCAAGAGTGTGTGGGAGGCAACACAATGTGTCTTTCTCACATTGATGTTTCTCTCCCCTCCTCCTCCTTCTCTTTCACTCTATCTAAAAATCGATGAAAAAGGAGGATGGAATGGGAGAGGGCAATGGGGGGAAAAGGGACATAAGCAATACTTTCAACAATAAAGATTTATTAAGAAAAACCAACAGAAAAAAATATCCTCAGGTGAGGATTAACAAAACACACACACACAAAACAAAACAAAAAAAAGATGGCGAAGATGCCTTATGAGCAGTTTAGGACTGAGGAGGGAAGGTTGGAGGAAAAAAACACACAGAAAAATCTCAAATGTATGTACATCTATATATATATCAACACACACTTTAGTTATTAAACAGACCATCTTGTATAGTTATAAATAATAGCCATAGAAATATATCTTTCAACCTGATTCTTTCCCTCTCCCTGACAATTTAGAAAAAAATTCTGAATATGGCATTGTATGGCAGCCAGGAAAATCACCACTTCTCTGCTCAGAAACAGACCGAAAAGGACATGATGAGACTGGGCTGGCCCATTTTGATTATTCTACCAGATCTACATTTTAAACACTGTACTCATTAGAGGAGCTCATTGCCAAAGGGAGGCAAGCTTAAGTAATCTTCCAGGTCTTCTTTCCACATACACCGTCACGCTGACATGCAAAAATAAACCTGTCTGAATACATCTGACGTTTTTCAAAGAAAAATATTAATGAAGTTTAGTTGAGCATTCAAATTAACTTAAGAACAGAGAAGGAAAAACTAATGTAAAATGAGTGTATCTGAAAAATAGATGAATATAAGACTTTGAGAACTAGTATGGATCTGAACCCTGTTTTTGGGGGCCAAAAATAGTAAATTTCCTTTTCTTTTTAAAAATTTAATATTTTTATTGACTTTTACAGAGAGAGGAAGGAAGAGAAATAGAGAAAGAGAGAAACATTGGTAAGCGAGGAACATCAATTGGCTGCCCCCTGCATGGCCCTACTGGGGATTGAGCCCACAACCCAGGCATGTGCCCTGACTGGGAATCGAACTGGTGATCTCTTGACTTCTGGGCTGATGCTCAACCTCTGAGCCATGCCATCCGGGTAGAAATTTCCTTTCCTAGCTAAATAAAATGACCTGGAACCCCTAGCTCTTGGTGCTTATCAACACTGACAAGCAATTCTGATTATAAGAATTAGTGAATAAACAGGCAGTCATAAGACCTCCCTCTAGGATTTCATGGAAGACTAGTGTATAACAAAGCCATGGTATTTTTTTTTTTTTTTTTTTGAAGGGGGGATGTGGGGGGAGGAGAACAAAAGGAAACAATACTGGTCACCATGAAAAGTTTCCCAAAACACATTATTCCTTTTAAAGAACAACAACAACACAAACAACAAATGTTTAAACAACATTATACGCAAGCCTTAGGGAAGAAGACAAAAGGTAACCCCAACTCAAACTTCACAGACTTGGTTGTCCTATATTCCACAGGAACTGTAAAACACAGTTATGTTTCTTACTCAGGTACAAGAATTCAATGGTTTCCCCCTCAAGTTCAGGATAAGGGCGATTCTTTTCACAAAAGACACAAAATGCACTTCTGCTATTATATTTGAGTAGGCTGTACCATTTTTTATTTTTAAGCTCTCCGTCTTGTGATTTTTTTTTCTTAGAAACATCAAGTCCCCCTTCCCCTCACTTCCCATCAAGAAACTAGTGTCATAACACAAAGGTTCGTAACTTTAGAAAAACAAAAACAAAAACAAAACAAAACAAAAAAATCCCACACAACCCCAGTATTCCAAGGAGAGGTTTAATTTTCCGGGAAGTCAGGAAAGCCATCCATTCTCTCCAGCAGTTCGAGAACAGCCATTTATTCATTGTTAATGACACCGATTCAGATGTTCAGGAAGGGGAGCTACGCCCCACACACTTTAAAATATTGGCTTCTCGTTTTATCCCATTACATTCTTAAATTTCTTTGCATATTCAAGATGTCCAGGGGCCCCTGACCTTGACTACAGCCTAGCAAGGAGGCCTGCTTTTAGCCTGGTGGCTCATGCGCTGGGGCACCAAGGGGGTGAACCTTGCCTGGAGGCGCGAGCAGAGGTGCATGAACGGATCACTATAACCATGAACACTGTCCATTCACACAGTTTATTCCACCAGACTGCCATGTCATACACAGTACGAAGGGGTTTCCTGACAGCACACGTAGTTTGCTTCAGTACAGCTGAGCCTTTTTTTTTTTTTCTAAAAAAAAAACAACAACAACATTATATCATAATACCCTAATGTGAACATGTTATTCAGTGACTTTTTCCAACTACATATAAACAGAGATTTACCACACACACACACACACACACACACACACACACACACACGGTGCAAGAATGTCTTTATAACATAGTGGAATCACAAGGGGCGGATCTAAAATACATCACTGCCATTAGAACACTACTTTCAACTCACAACGCCACGTTCTCTCAGCCCGATCTGGTTCCTCTCCGAATACGGACGGCACAGAGCGGCCTGGTGGGCGACTTCCCGCATACCCGGCAGCAGCTTTGAACGATGACGTCAAAAAAGAAACCTCTCACCCACCATCCCAATTTCCAACTTTAAAAAACCTCTTCCTTTATGCATTCCACATTCTCAGAATCAAAACAGGACATTTCCAAAGGCATCGTCTCTGAAGCAGTGAGCCTTAAACACAACCTCTCTTAGCCGAAAGGCTGGGGTTGTGTCAAGGTTTCCTAGAAACCCAGGAAAAGGACTGCACGGGGCGTGGGGGTGTGTTACAAAGGAAGACAGTTTTCTTTATCAGTTTCTTGGATTCCTCTGCCCCTCCCCACCTCTGTCAAACCCAGAGAAAGAACACTGTCCTGTCATGACAAACCGAGGCATGTGACCGTGAAACGATGGTCTAAAGAAAACGGATGTAAACACGTCAGAGGGGAAGGTTTCTTCATTTTCCCCATTTGGTGGAGCGGGGCGGGAGGGGAGATGAGAGCAGTTAAATAAGAAACAGAACTCGTCAGTCCAAGAACCACTTCATCACACACAACACGGGTAGGGATCACTGCCGACAACGTCTCACGTGCTTCCTTTTCGTTCCCCCCAAAAGTCTGAGAGTGTCTGCAAGTTCAATAAATAGTAGAAAAATAATCCTTTTACTTAGAAATCTTGAGATGCATCATGTAGAGCTTCACTCGAGTCCCATCCAGCCATCGTGGTCTCTGGGTACTGCCGGGGAACAGAGCCAAGTCTTTAGCGCACACATTGTTGCTCCCGGGCTGGGATGGGCCAGGAGGAGCCACGTTCCCTGGCTCTGCCTGAGCCCATTTCCCCTTTGTCCCGTCCCGTCCAGGAGAGCCGAGCGTCCCTGGCTCCTCAGCACATTCCTCTGGCTCAGCTTCACAAAAGCTCCCAACGTTTCCTGTGTAGGCTTTGTCCCTGTGTTTGGAGGTTTGCCTTCAGTTCCATCCCCTGCGGGTCACAGCAGGCTCATGGACCAGACTAGCTTCCCCTCCATGGGTAGAAACAGCCGGGCACCATCCACAGGGCGATGGGGCTGTCTCTCTCCTTCTCCAAGGTATTTGCAGGCAGGACACAAGTTCCATCATTTGGGACAAAGCCCCACACGCAAGGGGGTGTCTTGCCATGGATGGGAGGCTGGTTCTTCCCCTCCCCACTCCCGCCTTCCTTCCCACGGAGGCGCGGTGGTTAGCACTCGGCGTCCACGCTGTGCACGGTCACGGCCGCCTGCAGGTGGTGGCTGTGGTGGAGCGTGGGGTGGGGCAGGCGGTAGTGGTGGAACTTGTTGCTGAGAAGGGCCGCGGTCTGAGGCGGGGCGTCCAGGTCCAAGTCCTCGTCGTGGTTGCCCACGTCCACGCCCGCCGACAAGGGGTCGTTGTTGCACGGCGGGTTCTCGCTGTCCTCCTGCGGGCTCATCGTGCTGTAGCCTGGAAAATGAACGGAACAGGTGAGCTGATGGGAGCCTCCAGACGCAGGGAGGGGATGTCACCTCCCGTTCGCAGGGCATCGGGGGCATTCCTTCTTGTGTGCCACACAGGTGCAAACGCTGGCAGGTGGTCAGCAGACGGCCAGGTGCTTATTTTTAAAAAAAATATATTTTTATTGATTTTTTACAGAGAGGAAGGGAGAGGGATAAAGAGTTAGAAACATTGATGAGAGAGAAACATAGATCAGCTGCCTCCTGCACAACTCCTCTGGTGACGTGCCCACAACAAGGTACATGCCCTTGACCGGAATCAAACCTGGGACCCTTCAGTCCGCAGGCTGATGCTCTATCCACTGAGCCAAACCGGTTTTGGCCAGGTGCTTATTTTAAAGAGAGCTTTTGTTGACTGTTATTTTTTAAAACAATTATCCAAGAAATACCCAATCATTTTAGACAACTGAGAAAGTCAAGATCAGAAAAAAAAAAAAAAAAAAAAGCAAGAGCCCTTTCCTTAAATCAACAACATAAAAGTCAAAATGATCTCACGTCTCGTCTGATCCACAGATAATGGCCAGTGACGTTTGGGGAACTCTCCTCCTATACTTTTCCCTGAGATGAGATGAAGACTATTTTTTATTTATAAAAAGAGAAAAAGAATGGCAGTTTCACCCAGCTGGCATGGCTCAGTGGTTGAGCATCAACCTATGAACCAAGCTTCATTCCCAGTCAGGGCACACGTCTGGGTTGCGGGCTCAATCCCCAGTGGGGGGCATACAGAAGGCAGCCAATCAATGATTCTTTCTCATCATTGGTGTTTCTCTCTCTCTCTCCCTTCCTGAAATCAATAATATACATATATTTAAAAAAGCAGCTTCAAGAAAAAGACCCTAACAGGTTTCAGATCAGTTGGGGACCGGTGGGCAAAGCTGGGCTTCAAAATACCCGAATGTGATGCAACAGTAAGGACAAAAACAATTGCCACCATTGTCTGCACACCTGCTCCACGCAGGCTTGGATGCCATGCCATTCCTGCATCCCAGCAAGGAAGGCGTTTTAATATCCATTTTACAGTCGAGAAAAGCAAGGATCAGAAAGGTTAACGAGCCTGCCTGAGGTTCCAGTACCAACTCCACTCTCTCCCCCACACAGGAACTAGCAAAGGAGTCGACTATTCTCTGTGGGCGCTGGCCCACTGTATTTAAAGATTCATTTCTTTCTGGTATTCTAAGCCATACACATTTCAAAAGAAAATGCCCTTGCTGATCAAAGGACTCCATTCCAAGAACCTTGGCATGTTTTTAAATATTGCAAAAATCCCCTTTAAAATGTTTGAGAAGTGACAGCTCATTAATATTTCCGCTGCATCTACAGTTAGCATCCATCAGCACTCACCCGTGGGCAGTGCTAGTCGCATTTGTGGCTATGCAACTGACGTGCCTGCATACAGCCCAGCGGGGATAGTTCGATGGTTGAAAACATGTGCTTTCGTGCAAACATGAGAAAGGCAATTCTCTGCTCTCAATGAAACATTTCCCGAATGACAATCAGTGAAGTCGGTCCAAAGCCACAAATATCTATTGGGCACCTCCTAGGCCCCTGCTGCACATACCAAGATGGAAACCTGGTCCCTGTATAAGGAGCTCAAAAGCTAGTGCTTGAGAAATAAAACAAGTATAAACACAACTCAACTCAATTGCTCATTCACTGAAGACCACAGTGGGGCTGGAGGGTGGGGGAGGGGAGACTGTAAAACATAAATAAGAGATATCTTTCTTCCTTAAAGATTTCAGGAGGCAGATATTCACAAAGCAAGGCTTACAGTAATGCGGATAGTGGTAAGTGCTATAATTGAGGTATAGTTAAAATGGAGAGTAGGGAATAACTACGTCTGGCGGGGGGGGGGGGGGGGGGGGAGAGGGAATGAGGAAGCGCCACGGTAGAACTCATCTTTCCGTTGGGCTTACATGGATGAATGGGAGTTGGGTAAGTGGATGTGAGCAAAAGAACAGATGAACAGACGCGCACAGCCGCAGAGGTGTGGGAACCTGAGGACAGTCCTGTCCTGTGGCTAGGATGAGTGCCAGAAGGTGGGAAGGTGAGTTCAAGTCACATCATGAAGGTCACGCCAAAGCACAGAAAATGAAGGGAAAATACACTGTTTTGAAAAGACTGTAGGATACCCGCGAAAGTGACACTCCAGGTGTCAGGAGGGATTTGTTAAGAAAAGGAAGGGGAAATGTGCCACAGACAAGCTGACGAGCATATGCAGACAGCAGCCGGAAAGGCCCTCGTGGACCGGCCAGTGGTGAGAAACCTGGTGTCGGGGAGGATGATGTGGGAGATGCGGCTGGACAGGGAGGCTGGGACCCAATCAGCAAAACTGGTCGAAGCTATGAGTTAGGACTTAGCAATGGGCAAAGGAGGCAAATGGCAAAGACATAGCGTGTGTTAAGGCGATCCCTTGTAGCAATGAGGAGGCTGGACAGAAGGAAAGAGCGATCAGACGTGTGTCAGCCGGAGGAGATGGTGAGGACCTGACGTGGGGCAGCCGTGGGCTTCGTGAAACTCTTCAAGTGCAGAGTGGGCTGGATGTAGTGACTGAATGGACTCACCTGGTATGTGTGACAAGAGTTATTACCTTTCAGATAAGGTCAAGATTTCTAGGTTTAGAGGCGGGGGAAATTGTGATGCCTTCTCTCAAGACTTAGAGATTGGGAGCCAGAGTGAGAGTCTTAGTTTCTCAGCGTTGGCACTGCTGTGTCTAGACTATAAGACTGCGTGGTAGAATGCAGACTGGTGCAGCCACTGTGGAAAACAGTATGGAGTTTCCTCAAAAAATTAAAAATGGATCTTCTGTTTGACCCAGCGATCCTATTTCTGGGGATGTATCCTAAAAACCTAAAACACCAATCAGAAAGAATATATGCACCCCTATGTTCATAGCAGCATTATTTACTATAGCTAAGATTTAGAAACAGCCCAAGTGCCTATCAGTAGATGAATGGATAAAAAAGCTGTGGGACAGTTATACTATGGAATACTATGCAGCTGTATAAAAGAGGGGATCTCTGACTCTTTGGGATAGCATGGATGGACCTGGAAATAGTATGCCAAGTGAAATAAGCCAAACGGGGAAAGACAAATATCACATGATATCACTTATTTGTAGAATCTAATGAACAAAAGGAACTGACCAACAAAAAAGGGAGGCATGGAACAGACTCACAGACCTCGATGTGGGGTTGGGAGGACAAGAAGAGATAAACCAAAGACCTTATAATAGTATATGCATAGCCTGTGGACACAGGCAATAGGGTGGTAAGGGAGGAGAGAATAAGGGGGTAAGGGTGGTGAAGATTGGGGTAAGAGGGTAGAGAATAAGGACTGGAAGGAAGAGGGGAAGAGGAAGAAAATGGAAAATATGTGTAATATTATCAACAATCTTGCCGGGATTGGTTTGGCTCAGTGGATAGAGCATTGGCCTGCAGACTGAAAGGTCCTGGGTTCGATTCTGGTCAAGGGCATGTACCTTGGTTGTGGGCACATCCCCAGTAGGGGGTGTGCAAGAGGCAGCTGATCGATGATTCTTTCTCATTGATGTTTCTAACTCTCTATCCCTCTCTCTTCCTCTCTGTAAAAAATCAATAAAATATATTTAAAAAAAAAAGAAAGAAGAAAAAAAGGACACTTTAAAAAACAAAAAAAACAATCTTACCTAATAATAGACAAACATGTAAATTGATCATACCTCCCTTACACCGATAGCCAATCAGGATCAAGTATGCAAATTAACCCAACAAAGATGACAGGTTAATTTGCATATGCAGGCGCAGAGCAGCTGGGGATGGGGGCAGGACACCTGCTATGAGGGGGGGACGGTGGAGGGAGCTACAGGAGCAGTGCTCTGGCTGGGAGCGAGGACTTGCAGGCTCCCGGTAGGCGGGGAGCGAAGCTAGGGGAAGCAAGGCCTATTCTTGCACTAATATTGGGCAACGGGCCTCTAGTAAAAAGTATATTAAAAAAAAAAATAAGCTGCGAAACCAACTCAGTTACAAAGTGCTACATATGCTTACATCACCGTTTGCTCTACACTTAAGGGGTTGAGGTGGAAAACCTGTTTTAGTCAAAGCGCAGTGTCTGTGTTGATTATTTCTGGCCAACCTTTAGAGCTACACTGTCTTCTTCTTTCCTCCACATACTCCTGGGAGCCTCTGTCTCTGGTCAAGGGCACACACCCATAGTAACTGATAATTCATTTTCACATTCATGATATAAAACTCAGGGGGGTCCATCTGCCTGGCTCCCCATCCCTCCTCTTGCTATTGTGCTCCCAGTTTCAGTTTGAGGGTCTTCTCTGGAAGCATTCCCAACTAATAGCCCCCACTCCTAGCCCAGTTCCCTTCTGTGAGTTTAAATGGCATTCTGTGTACATCACTATCTTAGATTTCACAACGTTATAACAGAGTATGGGGCTGTCTTATTCATTAGCAAATTCTTTCTAAAAAAAACACAAGAATTTATTTATCTTTGTACTCCTAATATTCAACACAATACTCACACAATTAAAAAAAATCACGTATTATATTCCCAAAACAAAGGCATCAATTAATCCCCCCCCCCCAATTATCTGTTGTGACATTCAACAATCTTATCTAATAAGAAAGGAAATTGAGGATTCCCCAGACCCTGCCCAGGGGTTCTGACTTAGGGTCCAGGGATGCTCTGAACCTGACTGGTCATAGACCCAGGGCAGTGGGGATGGTGCAGATGTCCCCAAGGCAATGTGGCGGGGCACCCCCATTTCTCTTGATGCTTTCTGATGAGAACCCCAGCAGGGGCCCTTCCAAAGTGAACCACTCACTGCAGGGCCATCCTATGTAACTTGCTCAATCCCTCTGTAATGTAGGCTTCCCTTTATCTCAATAATTAATAAAAATGTGCTGGGAGGAAGTAAGTTGTGGACAAGCAGGAGAAAGACAAACACATATTCTCAATTAATTAATTGTTCACGTAGTGCCATGCAACCCTGTTGAGCACGGGGAACAGTGATGAATAAGGAAGACTCAGTCTCCGACGCATGGAGGGAGCCCTATTTAAAACACAAAAGGATATTTACCAATATTTTCCAAAGGAAGAAATTCTTTACTGTTCAAAGGTGTATGCAGAGAAACCTCTGCAAAGATGATCTCAACCAAGAAAAAGGTTTCAGGAAGGAGGTCAGGTGTCCATTAAGAACAGAAGAGTCAAATTAGGCTTTTGGTCTTTGGTATTCTGCTTGTGTATTTAGCTGATGGTTTCTAAGAAACCTCTTTTGATGACTAGGGATGTGAGGTCTCTCCAGGGACTCACTCACCATCTTGTGGCCACAGAGAGTAACTGCAGGACAGTATCTGCACCTCTAGACAATGGTCTGCTGCACTATACAGATTTTGACCAGATTTTCAAGGTTCAGCATTTGCCTTTTGAATGTTTTGGAATCTGCTTAACTTAGGTAACATTTCCCTCTTACAAAGAAAAGAAAATGCTGCTAAATATACATATACATAAAGTTTCTAATAAGATGGTAACCAAAACAGATTCAAAAGGAACAAATTATAGGTAGTTTTTATCTTAAAAAAAAAAAAAAGCCAGTAGATGATTAGACAGAACATGAATCTTCAAGAGACATAATGTGCAAAGCACATAATGTAATTAAAAGCACAGGTAGGTAGTAACTGTTTTAACCTGCTTGTGACAGTAACAGTCAATAGTTGAGTGCTGAAAATAATTGTTCCAGATCTTAGAATATTGACAAAGATGATTTCACTTTTCAAAAACCATTCTTAGTTTGAATAGAATTTTTTATCGAAATACAAAAATTAAAATGTGATTCCTCTGAAATACAGATCTCCGTTGGTCACTCTAAATATTTCTAAATAAAAAACGGAGCCTGAAAGGTTAGTCTGCTAACATTTAATTTTAATTCTAGAACACAACACTTTTCTGAACCATACCACAAAAATCAAGTGTATCTGTGTTACTGTTTTGAGTTTTCTTTTGTGTATCATACCCCCAAACTCCTGTGGAATTATGCTCCCTGAGTAGCAAAGAACCATGGTCCTACAATCCTACCGGTTCAAGGGCCAGCACATACCACTTTCCCCCTGGGGTCTCCCATGATTTCCCTGCAAATGAAAGAGGAATATCTAGCCTTCTTCTTCTTTGTTCCTCTCCTTTAAGGAAGCTGTCACAGTCAGTCTTTTATCAGTCTCAGGGAAACATGCATTCATTTACTGCTTACTCCGGGACTGTAAATTGCTTGAGGGCAGAGTGGGTATGCAGGTGGGGAGGTCAACCCTGAGCTCCTGCCTCCATACAGTGTTTCCTTTAATCCCCATAACTTCACTGGCGTGGAAGTTCTAATCCTGTTCTCATAATTAGGAAACTGAGGTCCAAAGTAGCTTCGCTAAGTCTCACAACTTGTAATGAGAAGGAGTGGTGAGATCCCAAGTGAACTCTGCTTGACCTTCTCCTGTAAGCTCTTCTACACCGCGGCTGCCTCACATAAATGACACCTCCCCTCCCCCATGCCGAGCAAATAGCAGATGCAATACAGTCACCCTATATAGGACAATAAAGATGAGCTAGAATAGAAGCGTGCCGACAAAACAATTAGATTACTAGCAGATCCTTGTTTTAATGTGGACATAGGGCTTTATCTTCTACGCATGATAGGGACATTAACTCAATGCCACCAATTTTACTGACCCACCACACAGGTGTTGGAATATGACAACATGCAGGTAAAGGCTATTGATTTGGCAGTGCATCTGAAATTACGCAGAATGTCAATGTCTCCCACTTCTTTTAGCGTTGCATTCTGTCTGCACGAGAAGCTATTTTTCATTCCTTGGGGATAACAGGGCTCCAATTATTGTGAAAAATGAAAGAAAGGAAGCCCTTAGCTGGATTCCTTGGCTTTCAGATTCTGACACTGCTCCGCTCCTTTTATCTAAGCTGTTGCTTCATATGCCATTTTACTAAGACAATGGGAGAGCTAATGGAACATTCTCACCATCCCTCAGAATTCCAATTTAGTACTGAAGTCATTTCAATTGGGGGAGAATAAGGGGAAGAGAGGGGGAGAGATGACAAGGGAGGGAGGGAGGAAGGGAGGGAGAGGATTCAGTATTTCTGCTGAATAAGAAATTATTTCTGTTGAACTTCAGTAGCCTCAAACCTGTTTTATTATTCAAAGGAGAAGAGGCACAGAACTGCCTGGCAGAATGCATTTATAGAATGTTCAAAGGTTTTTAGGGGAAAAAGGCAGAAAGTCAAAGAGAAAGAAAAATTTAAGTTCTGCTTTGACTCTCCACAGAAACGCAATGTTCCTATTTCGCTGGTGGGAACAATGTCATTCAAAGCTCAAATTAACAGCCTCCATTTCACAATCAGAGCCTTAGCTCCCATTTTCCAAAGGGAGTCTGAGCCCCTGGCTGTGGGGGGCAAGGCCACATCAGCTGCTTTGACAAACACCCACGCCTGCATTTCTCACCCAGGTGCGGGAGCACTCTGTTTGAAGACAGATCTTCTTTTCCTTTTCAGGATGGAGGTGCAGAAAGCAGAGTCAAGTACATGCATTATTCATGCATTTAAAAAAAAACACACACCCTGATTCTAGTGAGAAAATAAACATTTCTGGGGAATTAAACAGCCATGTGAAAAATAAAAACTGCTGCTCTCTAAGACAACAGCCACGTGGACGCCGGGCCGGGAAGGTGAGCACTGAAGTGGTACAGATTCACGGCTCATGTGGCACTCAGCACCTCTTCCCTGCTCAGCCCGGAGCCCTCCTTAGCATCCTACGAGGATTCTGTACAACTCCAGGACTGTACCCACTAGTCCCGTTGTCCCTAAGGTTGTTCCCTCACCCATCAAGGCCCAGAGTAAATGCTGTCTTTTTAATGAAGCTTGCCCAGAGCCTCGCAGGCAGGGCTGCAGGCCGGGGCAGGGAATGCCAGAGGACAGCATGGACTCTTGCCCTGTCCCCAACGTACGTGCCCGGGAGAGCCGTGATGATGCTGGTGTTTGCCAATTAGCAACACTGGGTGGTGGGACCTATTTAGGCGGCCTATTTACTGAGAATCACATGGTTGACGAGAAGCTTTCCCTCAGACATTATTTAGGGTGAAAGCCACCTGTGTACCCAGAGGACTTGAGAATGAGGAGACGCACCAAGGCCACCCCCACTCTTGGGCTCTTATCACAGGGTCATGATGGAACGTGTCTTTTTGAAAAGTCATTCAGAATAATTTCCTTGAGCACAGAACAGAAGGAGAGAGAAGAGTGGGGATGGGTGCTGGCCCGCAAGGTTCCCGGGGGCCCGCAGGCCCGCGTGCAGGGAGCGGGACCTTACCGTGATCACTCTCGGTTCCCGAGCGGCCCCAGTAGCGACGCCTCCTCTCCGGGCTGTGTGCGTGCCGCTCCATGACAGCGGCTATGAACCGGGTATTGCTGACTGTGGAGGACAAGGACAGCGAGTCACTCCTATGCCATGTCCTTATTGTATCAAGGACATGTACTCTGAACAGGCTCACTTATAGGTTTGGGTTGCTCTGAGGAGAGTTAGAATGTGTAATTAAAAAAATAAAATCTGAGGATTAGGGGAGCTGGTGTTAGAACTGGGGTAGGGAGCAGTTCCTAGTACCCCAGGCATCAAGAAGATGGGCTGTAAGTCAGGGGTGGGGAACCTTCTATCTGCCAGGCCATCTGGATATTTATAACATCATTTGCAGGCCATACAAAAGTATGAACTTAAAAATTAGCCTGCTGTCTTTGCTCAAACCTTTTAAAAAAATATATATATTTTATTGATTTTTTTTTTTTACAGAGAGGAAGGGAGAGGATAAAAAACTAGAAACATCGATGAGAGAGAAACATTGACCAGCTGCCTCCTGCACAACCCCTATGGGGATGTGCCCGCAACCAATGTACATGCCCTTGACTGGAATCGAACCTGGGACCTTTCAGTCCAAAGACCGATGCTCTATCCACTGAGCCAAACCGGTTTTGGCTGCTCAAACATTTAGTTAACTCACCCTGAACACCTCGGCAGGACCAGACCAAATGATTTGGTGGGTCTTATGTGGCCCGAGGGCCGGACATACCCCACCCCTGCTCTAAGTAGTTGAAGCCTACAGTATCTCAACACTATTAGAGTTCCTTTTTTTTTTTTTTTTTTTTTTTAATATATTTTATTGATTTTTTACAGAGAGGAAGAGAGAGGGATAGAGAGTTAGAGAGAGAGAATCATCAGTACGCAGGCTGATGCTCTATCCATTAAGCCAAACCAGTTTCAGGTAGAGTTCTTTTTTGATAAAGAGCTGCCCCTTGCCCCGAGTTATATGCATTAGCTTAGGGATTAAAGAAAATGCATCTGGGACTCTTCCCTTTCTAATACACTGTGCTCAACAGTAATGAGGAAGAGGGAGAAATGGAAGGGTGAGAAGGGCGAGGCCCAAGCAATGAATTCCAAAAAGAACACCATGAAATCTTTTGAGATTTCCTAAAACAAAGCAAACACCTACACGTATTCCTAATAAAAACAGGGGGGGGGGGGGGAAGACCACATCATGTCAAAGGTTCTTAAAATTTTAATACAAGCCAAAAGGATATAAAAAGGAATATTTATTCCAGATTAGCCTCCTGCTGACACTTCTGCGCAAGGCAGCGGGGTACTCACTGATGCCTCTGTCTTCGTGGCTGTCTTCGTCCCTTTCATCTCTGTCATTCTCCAGGTTGGACATACGCACTGACATTTCTACCCGTCATTAGAAAGAGAGAAACATGACTATTTAATCAAACAAAACCAACGCCTGTAACACCCCGCAGTGTGCTCGCTGGATGGCTGGGTGACAGCATTCCATCAAGAAGAACCCGGTTTTGGAAAAGAAAAACCAATACCCCCTTTTAAAAATAGAGAATAGGAATCAGAAGAGGGAGAATAAGTGAACAATTGGGCCTGATTTCTGAAGAGAAGAAAAGGTGACAGAGACAAACTCTGCTGAAACACCCAAAACAGAAGGAAGCACTCTCAAACCCCAGCCGACCAAGCTGATAAAATGGTGCTGCACCATCGTATGAAAGGCCAGGCATAAGGCAACCCTGGATGACAGCCACCCGCTGCCATTGAGGGGCGAGAGCCTGATGGTTAGCCCTGTCACTGAATCGGGCAGCATTACCCCACGATCCCCCATCAGGATGGTGGCCACAGTCAAACCAGCCGGTGCCCCCTGTGTTTCCAGCTGCCAGGCCAGCTCGGTGGCTCCTGACCCGGTCCAGGAAGAAAGTGGATGATCTTCAGCTCCATATAGCTCAGTGAGCACATCCCGGGAGCTTTTCGGAATGGGTTGGAGAGGGGTGTGTGGTATGTGTGTGTGTGTGTGTGTGTGTGTGTGTGTGTGTACTTGCGCGTATGGCCGTTGAATGGTTTTGTACCTTGCAAAGGAACACAGGTACCACGTCTAATTCTTGGTATGGAAGCAGTAATTACAGACTGATCATTTTACACCTCTGCTTCAGTTACTTATCCTGTCTTAAGAGATGGGACTATTCCTTTGAATGTGTGTTCATTCACAAAATATACACTGAGTGGCCAGATAATGTGATCTCTGAATGCACAATTCTCTGGCCACTCAGTGTATTTGTATCTCAAATGGGTACCAGAAGTATTCTGGACTTTTGCTGGAGATCAATCACCTATTTGCCCTGAGCTTTCTGTCAGCCAGTGCAAAGGGGAAAACTGATCAGGTGCACGATTTATAGTATCTTTGATATCAAATAAATGAGGTGCTCAAGAGAAGTACACCGAGTGGCCAGATTATTAGGCGTTCAGAGATTATCATCATCTGGCCACTCCGTGTATAATAAAATAGACAACAACAACAGAATGATCCCTGGTCTTGCCCATAGCGATCTGTGGCATCTGTGGTTGGCCAGGGTTTTGGGAACATCAAGGGCAACACATCTGTGCTGAGTGAAGAAGAACGTTTCCCCCTCTGCATTCCAGCTCCCAGGCTGGCCTACTCCAGAGCAGTGTGGCAGGCGAATGCTGCGTAAGAAGGGAGAGGAGCCAGGCATTTCCTGGGGACTCTCAAAAGGGGCCAGAGGAGCCGAGCAGGCTTGCAGAGCACCCCTCTGGAGAGGCTATATGTGCAGCCCTGTTCTTACAAATGCTCAGAGGCCCTCATGACAGGCCACCATCCTCTGGCCTCAGATGCACCTGCGAAGGCTGCTGCCCCCTGCGGGAACTTTGGGATTCTTTCGCTGTGAGCTCACCTTGAGCGGCCAGAGGAGACATGTGCTGATGGCTCCGGCGGTGGATCTGATGGCGGTAGGCGTACACTGCAAGGACCAGCACCATGATGCACCCCATGATGCCTCCGGCCACGGGGCCCACGGGGGCACTTTTAATCATGTTCAATGTGATCACTTCATCACCTTCATGGAAACAAACAGATGCCCCTTGTCAGGAACAGATCGGGAAAGGGTCTGGGGAGGACAAGGAGAGCTGCTCTCAGCTTTGAACTCCTCAAAGATGACCCACAAGAACGTGGGAGCGGTGACTTCGGTTAATTCCTGGCTCTCAAATTAAATTTCAACCGAGTCAGAACACAATCAGCAAGAGCTAGTAAAAGGAGTACATGAGAACCACTTAAACAGGCGGTGGCCAGTGTTGGGAGCCCAACTCCCTGGGGTGGGGCTGCTATTGGAAGAGAGGTAAGAGGGGTGAGGGCAAGGTGGGTTCTTTGGGGTCATGTGACCGAATTCACAGGCATAAATAGCACCAGTATAACCAATATGTGTTTAAAAAGATCCCACATTTCAAAGCTTGTGGGTTTCCTTTAAAACACTGGTTGCCAACCAGTGGTCTGTGGACCACTGGTGGTCCATGCAGTCTGAAAGGTTGGCAATTGCTGCTTTAAGGAAACCTTTTCACTTTTTATTTATTTTAAAATTTTAAAATATATTTTATTGATTTTATAGAGAGGACGGGAAAGGGATAGAGAATTAGAAACTTCCACGAGAGAGAAACATTGATCAATTGCCTCCTACACGCCTCCTACTGGGGATCAAGCTTGCAACTGAGCCTGCCACTGAGCTTTTGACCAGAACTGAACCCAGGACCCTTCAGTCCACAGGCCGACGCTCTATCCACTGTGCTAAACCAGCTAAGGCCACCCTTTGCACTTTTTAGACAGAAAACTACAGGTAGTTATACAAAGTGACTTAGAACAAGGTCACACTCACTGTGTCTAACCTGGTTCAGTGGTCATACGTGAGCTCAGGACCAATCCTCACATTAGAGCATTTCTTCTACTGATGGTCTATGTAGGGAGTTGCTAATAGACAAGGCATTCACTAAAGGCTTAAATATTTGCCTCTCCTGCCAGCTAAGCCTTAGGTATTTGTGCTAACTCCGTGAAGACACTGACGGGATCTCACTGTGGGGTGCAGGTAGTATTTTTGAGGTCTTGGAGCTCAATACCAGGGGCTTTCTTCCCTACAGTGAGCCTGTCCTCCACTCTAAGCCACTCCAGCCGCATTGGGTCATAGCTCTGGCTTCTGTTGACCTCACTGGCCCTAAATAATGACTTGTGGCCACAGGACTTCTAGCTCTGCAAACGCTGTGAGGGAAATGGATGTGTGGCGGTCCCTCCACCCACCATTGGCCGGCCCTGTGCTTCTGACAGCTGGGACTCACATTCACACAAACCCTGGGGTTCAGCCACGCGGAGATCAGGCCTGACATTTATCAGAACACGCTTTATGAGAATGAATTCCAGGCTTGCAAAACCTGGCAGGGCCGACGGCTGCTCACTCTGCACAGAATTATCTCGCCAGCTTTGGAGGTAATCAGCGGCCTTGGTTTTGTAATGAAAAACTATTGGCAAAGGAATCAGGGAGGCGGCGTAGAGGATCGCGTGAAGATTTCTGTCCTTTGTAAAGACGGGAAAATGTGTACTCAAGAATTGAATTACTCTGGGTTCCCAACAAACATACCTATGGCTCCCATGTCATCAGCGTAGGGACTCTTGGCTCCCACAATGCCCCCAAAGCATTCTTTCTGAGGCGCACAGTAGGCTTTGTCCAGGTGAGTCTTCCCATCGCTGTCCACCATGCACCACTCACAGTCCAGCACACCAAAGCAGTCCCTGCCAGAGAGACGAGGCTGAGTGTGCCAGGAAACAGTGCCAGGCGGGAGGGCACGAGGGGCCTGGGCATCCAGCTCTCCAGATGCCCATTGCTTACTAGTGCTCTGACTCCTGGAGCATCAGCTTCCTTTCCTAATAAAACGAGAATAGCAACAACCTGCCTTCTGTCCCTCAACAACTTGGAAATGAGAGAAAGAGAACTGCTCTCTATGAATCCAACCATGAAATGCAATCCATGCAGCCTGGATGAGTGCGGATTATTTAAAATCATCTTAAAAGAACGAGTGGCCCCAAGATTTGTTGGACTTTGGCCTAACACCATCCAAGTGTATGGTCATAAAAGAATAAAATAAAATAAAAAGGAAGGAAGAAAAATATGGTTAAATAACTTTGGGAAATAGAGGTGAGTTAAACAGATTTTCTTACTGCCAATTTCTTAGAGCTTTTAATAAGTTAAGTATACTATGGCTCTAAAAGAATATATTCAGTATTTCTCAAACTTAGTTGACTTTTGGTAACTGTGTAACATCAATTTATTCCTACCATTCCTCTGCCAAAAGCTACACCCAAAGTAGAACTGGCTGCTCTTTCTACCGACTAACTGTTCTATCAAATGGACGTGCAGCTCTCTATGTAATAAACGCATCACCCCACTCCCACCCCTTTAGTTACCACAGCCTCTGTACCCATTCTATCTAGTTCCAAACACCCTAGGGAGCAGGTGGAGGGAGAAGAGGACACAGTTCTCAGTTCTCAAAACCACCAGGAAGCATATCTGCTTTCTAAGAGATAAAATGGATAAGCTTTAATGCATCACACTCAGAACCTTGACTGCCAGGTTATGGAGCCCTGTCCCGCCTCCTTGCTTCTTCACGCCATGTCCCCTCACTCATTTATTTTCACACTTTATCTCAAGAATAACTTTCCCACCCATTTGTCACATATGGTACAAATGCCAAGTAGCTGTAACATGTGAAATCTGGGTGAACTTAAACATGGTGGGTAAATAAAAGGCTTATGGAGTATCAGTTTTGGATTTGAAAAAATAAATAGATACTACCTTTTAAAACATCAAGAAGACGAATAATAAGTACTAGCTGGAAAAGCTCGGTGAGGCTGCTGGTCTCTATACTTTACTGGGTTCTACTCCCCACACCATCACGGTGACGTGAAAGTACCCCTGGGTCCTGCTCACCCGCTCTCCATCCTCTGACTGCACCTGCTGTTGACACACTGGTGAAGAGCATCTTGCAGGCCAGGGTCCGTGGCTGTGTACGTCACTGGCTCCTGGTGGACCTCGCAGCTTGGGTTTCTATTCAGGAGCAAGTCTGGAGGTTAGGACCACGTACATGCCAAGCTCATCATGCCCTGGCCCCTACGGTGTCAGACAGATCTGAGTTTGAATCCTGGCTTTGCCACTTCGCTGTATAAAATCTTGGGCCAGTCACTAAACTATTCTGAGCTTCAATTTGTTCATCTTTACGTACAAAAGAAATATTAAAAAAAATAGGAAAGCATAAATATTCAACAAAATAGGAACACACAAAATAAAAAGTGGATGTTACCTCCCCTCACTCACCATTCTAAATCTTACTTTTCAGAAGTAACCACAGCTGTTGGTTTAATGGGGGTCCTTTTATATTTTTATTCTATTCCTAAATAAAAATTTCAGCTGACCCTTGAACACATAGGCTTGAACTACATGGGTCCACTTAAACATGAGACTACATGAGACTTTTTTCAGTAAATATCTGTCTTGTTTTTGATCCGTAGCTGGGAGTCTATACACACAGAGGGCTGACTTTCTGCATTGTTCTATGGCATTCTATACAGTGGGCTTCAGCGTCTGTGGATTTTGGTGTCCGTGGGGGATCCTGGAATGAATCACCCACATATATCAAGGGACAACTATGTTTTTTTGGGGGGGTCAAAAGTTTTTTTGTTTTTCTTAAATATATTTTATTGATTTTTTTTTTTTTTTACAGAGAGGAAGGAAGAAGGAGAGGGATAGAAAGTCAGAAACACTGATGAGAGAGAAACATCGGCCAGCTGCCTCCTACACACTACTTCCTAGGGATGTGCCCAACCAAATTCTTGACTGGAATTGAACCTGGGACCTTTAAGTCTGCAGGCCTACGCTCTATCCACTGAGCCAAACTGGTTAGGGCGGGAGTCAAAAATTATACACAGATTTTTGACTGTGTGTGAGGGTGCTGCCCCAACTCCAGCTTTGTTCAAGGGTCAACTGTACTAATAATATGCATACACACAATATTCCTCCTTTTAAGTTCTAGAACAGGGACTTACCACAATTTATTTAACTAGTCTTAAAATTTGTAATTAGCATAAACAATGCTATGTCATGGGTGCAAAAAAATATACCTACGTATTTATCAGACAGTTAATTCAAAAACTAAGTGACTTAATGTACATAAAATAACTGCCATGGGGTAGGCACTTGGTACATGCCAGTAACAGTCTCATATTTTTTGTGTATAACACATATATTGTCAGTCTTCCACAGCATTTACATCTAAGTCTGTAAGTGGACCTCATTTTAAGGTGCTATGGAGCTTAAACCTGGTGGATAAATAAAAGGCTTATGGAGTATCAGTTTTGGATCTGAAAAATCTACTTTTTTTTGGCTCACAGAACAGTTAAATCAGAAGAGTGAATCATCTTCTTATGCCCCAACCCCAAACAAATCTATAAACAAGACTCACAGCATATATATTGTGCCAAAAAATGTATACATATACTTTGAATAATTAAAGGTAGTATTTGTTAACATACATTTCAGTCTCAAAACTGAGCTATCAGTTGTTAAAGTATGTACAAACTTTTTGGGAAACACCCCATATAGAGTACATAAAATTTTTTTTTTACCGGTTTTCTGCATTGGTGAGGTTGCCAGTACACTCATTGACCTCCAGAGGGCACTCGCAGGGACATTCACATTCGTTTTGTTCCATTCTGAAAGGCAAAGAGAAAGTTACCATGCAGAAGGTCAATAATAAATGACATGTTGTTCACATACCAGGGGAAGCAAAACAAACCAAACAGCACTGGAGCTAGTTAAAATGGGTATAACAACGAAAAGATGACCAAAAGTTTAGATACACAATTGGCCTCAACCCACTGCTCTTTGGATAAGGCTGCTGCAAACGACACAGCTCTAAATGCTTCTGTAACCAGGACTTTCCTTTTCTCCAGGCCACACACAGCACTTTCTGTTTATTTTGCAGATGCCACTTCGGAATGACTGGCATCAGTGAAATTATTCAACAGCATGATAAACAAGAGACTTAGGACCCAGAGCATTCTTACCGGTGACAGTTGAGGCAGAGCCGGTCCACCATGCTGCAAGCACAGAAGGCAAGGGAGTCGCACGTTTCGTTGACAATGCCCACAAATGCGTTGGTTCCTGGGATCCTTGCCAGTCTGTACTTTGAACAGTGGCTGCCGTGCACAAGGTTCGTCAAATCCCCCTGCAGACAACCGAGGTGTCAAAAGTGACAGACAATGCAAAGACTCAGCCCTACCGCGACCTCTGAGCCATCTGCTGAAAATAGCTTACAATCACACTTTGTCTCTGATTACAAAAGCAGGACATTGTCATGTTAAAAAGCTAGAAAATAAAAATTATTTACAATCCCATCACAGATAATGCTCATTTAACAGCTGTATTTACATCATTTATTCTTTTAGCCTTAATTATAAAATAAAATTTTTCATGGTTGTTTTTAGAATCTGTTCTTTTCTTTTTTAACTCACACTACTATATCATAAAATGAAAATAAATGCAAGAAGCAATGAAAGACAACTCTCCGGTAAGGAATAGTTTGAAATTTATTCAAAGGCAAACCTAAATAATCCGAAAACAGGCATTTACCCTTTTTCCTTTAGATAATAAACATCTGTTCTTTTAGAATAATAAGATTATTTTAAAACCAAAGCCTCTTTAAGAGGCCGGGGCCCTGCTTCCAGAATAGTTAAACAATTCAAGTAAAGCAAGCACCCTTTTCTTCGTTCTATAACAAGAAAGTGTGATAGCCAGTTTCTTGAATTGCCAACTTTGTCACCATATTAGAAAATCAAAGATTCAAAGGTGTTATTGTAACACAGAGTATGGCCGTTTTTGCCTCCACGTGTAGCCTATGCAGTAGGCCAATGATTTAAAGGCACGCTTGTTTCCATGCCAGGATCCCCTACATGTGCGTGGTGAGGATAAGCTTAACTGAGAGCCATGGCACTGAATGCATTCTTAGAGATCCAGGCAAATTTTCCACTGCCTGGAAAATGCCCGCCTCTACAGTATAAGCAATAGTATAGGCTTTGCATCCTGTTAGCTCCCATTGCCAGGAATGCTCCTGGTCCATTTTGGAATAACTGATGCCAATAAGAAATTATCCTAATTCATACAGGGGTTGGCAAAAGTAGGTTTACAGCTGTGAGTACATAAAACATACAGTTTATTCTCGCATGATTATTTATTAATTATTGTATTATTTTCCATGTGAACAGCTATAAACCTATTTTTTGCCCATCACTGTATTTCGTTAAAAGATGTCCTGCCTTTGTCTCAGGAAATCTTTGTACAAATGATAGTAGATGCCGGGGAAGTTAGACTTTCATAGGACAACCTTCCCTGGCAGCGTCCCTCAGATTACGCTCAGGTTTTCAAATCCCCTCTGGAGAGCACTCTCCTCGGAATGACATGGGCTCTGAACAGAGTAATAACACTTTCCTTGTTCTGAACACACTCTCCTTTTCACATATTCATTAAAAAAATTCTTCTGTTTTTTCCAGAAAACTGTTTTTGCTGTTGCTTTTTTGGAGACTAAATAGAATTAGGATTTTCATTTAAGCTATCATATCTTTTAAAATCAATTTTAATTATACATTTGGTGATGTAAATATCTATTTTAAATAAAAAGCTTTCTTGCCGAAACCGGTTTGGCTCAGTGGTAGAGAGAGCATCAGTCTGCAGACTGAAAGGTCCCAGGTTCGATTCTGGTCAGGGGCATGTACGTTGGTTGCGGGCACATCCCCGGTGTGGGGTGTACAGGAGGCAGCTGGTTGATGTATCTCTCTCATCGACATTTCTAGCTCTCTCTTTCTCTCCCTTCCTATCTTTAAAAATCAACAAAATATATATATTTTTTTAAAAAGCTTTTTTCTTTTGGATAACTTTTTGTTTCGAATGTTGGTTCCAACATTAACAGTTTTAGGGCTCGCTTGGCTAGGATTACTTACAAATTGGTAAGAAAACTCTCAAGATCTGTAATTATATTTAGGTACATTTGCAGTACCTCACATCATAGAGTATTCTAAGCTAAAGAAAAGAAAGGACTTTTGGGTGATGAACATGAGAACCTCCATCTCACAGGGTGGAAGACCAAGAGCTGACCTAAGTTAGCTTCACAAATTTCAGAAGACGGGGTGATGTCTAGAAGACAGGAAGAGAGAAACACGGTGCCGCATGTATTCAGACAAGAGAGGGGGAGACGTCAGCAGACGTTCAGTGTCTTTAAGCAAACGACACTGAAACAAAATACCTGGTGGGAGCACTCACAACACTCACTTCTCTATTCTGGGCTTTACATCCCACCGTTGTCACACTGCGGGGCTGGACTCGGGTCCTGTCCTACCATCCTAAAATTCCAACTCAATGGAACAGCCAAGAGTAAGATAACCATCACCGTTATTCTACTTTACATTCCATAGTAGGAAGGAATGCCAGTGTTAAGGAGCAGACTTACCACGAGGCTAGTGTTGAACTTGTAAAACCTCTGTACCGTCCTGTCACTGAAGCTGTTGCACAGGTTTTTCTTGACGAAGTTGGGGTGGTTCAGGATGTCATTTGCAACCAGGGGCTCCTGAGAAGGCCAAGCAGAAGACACAGGCCATGTCATTAATGAGCCGCAGGCTGCGGGAGAGCCGAGCTACCCGTGTTGCGACAAATACCTTGTGGGTGATGTGCTGCTGCTCCACAGGCGCGTGGCCCTTGGGGTCAATGAGGGTCGGATGTGCCACCAGGTAACCCCTGTCCTCCATGATGAAGCACCTGCACCAATACAAGCGACAACCCTGTCACTGGAGCTGATTTCCGTGCTTTCACGGAGCATTGGTCTTGCAAGCCCAAAATCAAATTGCATTCATTCCAGGTTCTCAAGAAACATTCATTGATAACATGGAGGACCACTGGCAGTCAGGTAAACAGGCACATCATTCTTGAGGGGATGGATCAGTATAAGATGAGAGCTTTACATGTGTCTCCGACATCACCTACAGTTCATACAGAGTGTGACCATCCAGTCCAAGGAAGGTGGACTTGAAAATCTTTGGCAAGGACGTATAAGCAAGAAATTAATTCTTTATGTGGAGGAGGGAGATTCTGAAAAGCGTGGCCTTGAATGTTTATAGGCACACACTTGAAGCAAACCATACCATTTCTCCTTCCGATGATAAGCATACATAAAATATGACATTCGGGAGACATAAAAAATATATTGGATGGAAATACTAAATAAGTAAAGCCAGAACTGCTTTAATCAAGACTGCATTCTGCTCTGTTTTACCCTACACTCTTCAAAAACAATTTTCCATGAATCCTGTATTTCCCCATTAAGGGCCAATGTGACTCTTAGCAGTGATACGAAGCATGGGTCGTGAGATTGAAATAAGAAAGCTATTTTTAAAAGTGGCCTGCATTAAATCAAGGGAATGCCTTTGCTTTGATCAGACATGTTCTTTTGAAATCCAGGCGGAAAAGACTTTTAGTTCCATGGGCCTCTTTCTGAGGAAATGTGAAAGGAGCCATCTAAGCATCTGAAATATCTCACAAGGACTTTGGTTTAATAACTAAGTTAACATCAAAAGTGCTACCCAAGAGTACTCTCTGGTCTTTCTAACACCCCGGGTATAGGAAACCTCTAATCACTGACTTCTAAAGAAATAAGACCTTTCAGAGAATCCTGTGCCACAATTACCCTCTCCGTTATAAGCCAAGTCTGTTTGTCCACATCTCAACTGGCATCTTAGAAGAACGTTCTTAATAAAACACTCAGACCACGGATTCGATTTCTGGTCCTGACCATGACAGTGTAGTTGCCATTCAACTAGAGATACCTGACATCATTCTCCTTGTATTTTGCAGCTGGCAAGGAAATGGTGCCCCCCAAAAGCTTACCTTATTTTATTGCCGCCGTCTTGGTTACAAACAGGCAACAAGTCCATCAGAACCTTGTAGAAGTACCTAAGCGTGAAGTCAATGCCCATCACAGCCACAGTGTGACCAGAAGACATCTGTGTACTGCATGTGGACAAGATCAATGAGAAGAGGAGGCATGGTTATTTAAAGGTAAAAGCCATGCTCAGCATAAGGACATTGTATGGCATAAGAAATGCATGCCTACTCTTTCTCCACACTTGCCACCCCTATAAAAACAATCAACTAAATGACTAAGCTAGCATAACATGGAGATGTGATGAGAGGAAAAGTTAAGACGAAAAGGTAGAACTTTCTAAAAAAAAAAAAAAAAAGGACCAGCCCAAATAAGGTGCAGCTGTGGAATATGCCTAGTCTTGACTATAGATGTTCAGACAATGACTGGATTACTCTTCAGCAAGAATATGAGGGTGGGAGGGAATAGGCATCAAGTAGCAGGCTGGGTGCGTGGCTACTATGGTTCCTCACAACAGGGGACCTACAGACACGGAGCCTGAGTGATCCCCTTAACTATAGGTAGAGAAACTGAGATCTCACTAAGGTTAACTGACTAGTGTAAGGTCACAAAAAATTTAGTAAAAACAAGTTTTCTTTCTATAATACTAATGCTGTCTCCATGCAAAACACAACTCATATTTTAGAACAAGACTCTCCTGGTCCATAGGCCAGATCTTTCACGATTGGAAAATGCTAGTCTCAAAAACAGGAGTGCCAAGGAAGACAAAGTTGGGCAGTAACAACATGGAGCTACCCTTTTAGCTCTGGAATCAAGTAGATCTGGGATCAAATCGTGGCCCTGTTAGTTTCTATCTTTGTGGCTCCTGAGACAATACTTAATCTTTTAAACTTCAGTTTTCTCATCTGAAAGTGGGGATAATAATCTACCTATTTCATAAAGCTATTAAATGAGGTAGTGTATTTACAGTATTTAGCAAACTGCCAAACATATAAAAAAACCAACAACACCCAATAAGATGTTTTAGAAAAGTTATTCTTAAAAAAAAAAACAAAAAAAACCTATATAGGGTTTAAAACTCAGATCTAGACAGCATGAATTCATTACTCTTTCAGAGAACCTGCTAGATGTCTATCAGAAACACTGGCTTCTCACTTAGAACCTAGGTTCTTTTTAATCTATGTCCATGAGCAGTTGAGAGGGCTCCTTTTGTGGCTGGGAGTTTTTGAGGTTTACCCAACACAGCACATTCCAAGAGTCCATAATTATCATTGTCCACCCAACTGATCTCTTAATAAAGAAAATACCAAAAGAAAAATGGCAATGTTATTGACAAAAATCTTTTAAAAATACTTTATTGAATTTTTTTTTAATAGAATGGAAGGGAGAGGGATAGAGAGTTAGAAACATCAATCAGCTGTCTCCTGCACACTTTCAACTGGGGATGTGCCCGCAACCAAGGTACATGCCCTTGACCGGAATCAAACTTGGGATCCTTCAGTCTGCAGGCTGACGCTCTATCCCCTGAGCCAAACCGGTTAAGGTGACAAAAATCTTAAAAATTTTAATTGGAAAGTTCAGAAGGAACTTCTCAAAGTGAAATCCTCTTTTGGAAAATCAGAATTTGGGAGTGAAATTAGCCTTGCCATGTAGACAAATTAGCTATTGCCTCAATAGGAGCCTCCTTAATACTGAAGTAACTTAAATTCCACTGTGAGAGAAATTAATGACTGAATTACCTTACATGGGATTTGTGCTTCAGAGCAAATGTTTTCCTGAAGAATCAGTTAAAAGAAATTTAAACCTCTTTTGGTTGTCCAGGAGAATGATGAGTCTAAATAACAGCCACATTATGATAATAGTAACAGCTTCCATTTACTGAATAGACACAACTGATAGGCACTATGGTATCATTTCAAAGATGTTTTCACAGAAAACTTATGAGGCATTATCTTTTCTAGAAAATGGAAGCTTGGGAGGATGAAGTCTTTGGCCAAAGCCTCACAGTGAACAACTAGTGGAAGCAGGAATTTCAAGTCAGTGTCTGCAACTCCAAAGTATATAGTGCCCCTAACCATTAGGCAACACTGCCTCCTTAAGAGTTTCCAAGCAATTTTACATGATCTACTTAATCTTCTGCAAAGATGTCAGAAAGGAATTACAGTTCCTGCTTAATAAATGAAAAATGAGGTTGAGAATAGTTAGAAGACTTAAACAAGATTGATAACCCTTTATTTATGGCACAGAGTCCAGTATAGAAATCTGGCTCTTTCTACACTACTGCTGCCTCAGTAAAAAATAAAACTCAGGTTTTTGGGGACAAGTTAAGATGATGTCCTCTGACTGTCACCTGCTCCAATATGATCCACATACTGAAGTAAAAGCATGCATATTGCCCATGTAAGTCTAACATTCATATTTCACCTGCATTTCAAAAATGTACACTGTTACCATAGCAACTCTCAAAGATTACCATAGAGAAATCAAACCACGCTTACATTTCTACATACAATAGACTAGGCTGTTTGTGAGATTTTCTCTGCCAAGGATTCATCTGATCGGTCCCTAATCACTAACTCTACTTCATCATCTTTATCAGCATTACCATTCTCCAAAGATGCACACCTCAATTCTCAGGCCACTAATAATGTTCTGGGTAGAATCTGATAAGTGAGCATTGAGTTAGAAAAGCTTCTCCCCAAGCTATCAGCCAAACCACTGCCAGAAACCAAGGATAAATGAGGATGCCTCCTGATAAGCTGACCATCAGCTTAAGTTCTCTCTTCTGACCTATGAAAATGCTAGATGATAAAAATAGCTGCCATTTATTTGGGATTTGATATTGTCAAGTACGGAGCTTTGCATTTTACACCAATCACCTCATTCAACAAGGGCATTATCACTGTTGTGCATATGAGGCCAGGAGGTCGTGGAATAATATTAATAACTATGTAACATGTATTGAGCCCTTACCATGTGCCAGGCACTGCTCTAAGAGTTTCAGATGAATTATTTAATATAATCATTGATGAATCTTTTGAGATAGAACCAAATATCCCTTTTTCATAGGTGAGGAAACCAAGGCAAGAAGGAACTTGTTTATAGTCATACAAACAGTAAGTGGCAAATCTACCTTTTTAGAGCAGAATCAGATCTTAGGAGGAGGTTAGGTTCTCAAGCTGGCATACGAGGTCAGATTCACTAGCAATTATTTGAAAAAAAAAAAAACTGCTTTTGCAGAGAGCCCATCTCTGCCTTTGCAGGGAGCACCAATACACCCATTAAAGCTACAGAGGCTTTGCTTGAGAATCAGAAGAGGTGGTTGACTTACATTATAAACTGTGTTGAATGAAAAGCACACGGCTTTAAATAAGAAAAGCATGCTCAGCTGAGAAAAATGTTCAAACAAGTCCTCAAGACTGTACATTGATCAAGGCAAGAGCGGGTACTTAATTTCTGAAATTCATTCTCATTGAGTGACTGGTGGTCAGAACCCAGGATTTAAATGGCCATTTAACTCTTGCTACACTCAAACAACTAACCTTGCATAGTTTAAACACACTCTAAAAACGAACCAAATAAGGAAATTGGATGCAGGTATTTCTAATTTGAAAGCCTATCACATTTCCACCATGCTTCATTTGGACTAACACCGTAAATATTTTTAAGTAAACTCAATGAAAGTTCTTCCATCCATTCAAACCCCAACAAAAATATGTACATGTGTTCATGTACATGAGCCTAAAAATCTGCACCTTCCTGTGGCAACCTCACTCCACCAGCAAAAGGAATGCTGTATAGAAGGTAGAAGGAAGAGCTCAGGGGGCTGGACAATGAGTGGCCAGGTGGAAGAAGGCTGATGGAATGCCAGAGACTAAGGAAGAAACACCCGGGTCGTTGTTTGCAACCTACCTCCCAATGATATCTTTCAGAGCCCATTCCATTGTCAGCAAAGGCCAAGGGAACTGCTTCCCCCTCAAAGAAATCATCTTTGTTTACCTTTTCTCAACTGATCAGTGTAGGAGAGATGGCAAGCCTAGCTATTCAGACAATAGTAGGCGTATGCCTAGCAGATGGTCTGTTAATGAAAGCATGGAAAAAATCTGTTCTAACTGAGCGTTTCCTTGTTGACATGTGAAATATTACATTATGGGAGCAGCTGATTGAGCCAAACAGATACAGTGCCCTGCAAAGGAATCAACGCTTGGCTAGCGGCAAGGCCCTGCTTTCCACGGAGACACAGGTCATGATTGAAATTCCACACAGAGCTGCTTCCAAATTCCTACTCCCAATGAACCTGCCTTAGAAGAATTTACTGAATGTCAATCACTTGGTATATAATGAGCACCAGCGAGAAGCATAAGGTTGAGCAAGGAAACCTGTCTCCCATGAATTTTAAGATATCATTACAGGTACTCGTCAAAATATGGTCTTTCTTGGTTACTAGGGAAAAACAGCTATTTGTATAACGAAGGGATTAAAACAGTTTAATGTGTTTGACTTGCCTCTCCACCCAACATTTCACTGAAATTTGTAGTTTAAATACAGAAACTTCAAAACTAGGAAATATACAGCACCCTAAATATATTTACAGTGATAACTGACATTTTATAGCATTCCGGGAAAATCAATTTTTAAAATGCCTTTTTATTTTTCTGGAGGCAGTGGGAGGGCAAAATAAAAACAACAGATTCCTATATGGTTCTAAAGTTAGACTGCAATACAAGAGGTAATAAAATTGATGTCTTGATACTTTTCTCTCTTCACTAAGAACGCTCCCTTCTTTCGGAAAACACTCTCTGGTAATGATTAATTGTCAGGCTCCTATTGCTATTTCTTTGATTGGGGTAAGCCTGGCATTTCTACAACTTGCTCTAGTGACTCTAACATCCTTCTTTTTCTTCATAAGCATCATCCTGGTTGCCAAGAACAGGGTAAGAGTTTTTCATGACTCAACCACGATAGCCTTGTGAGGTGGTGTTATCCCCATTTTACAGATTGCAGAGGGAAGCCCAGAGAATCCGAGAGGACACAGCTAAAGAAGACACTCAAGCCCTGGCCAGTTTGGCTCAGTGGCCAGAGCATAAGCCTGCAGACTGAAGGGTGCCAGGTTCAATTTTGGTCAAGGAAACATGTCTAGCTGAAACCAGTTTGGCTCAGTGGATAGAGTGTCGGCCTGAGGACTGAAGGGTCCCAGGTTTGATTCCGGTCAAGGGCATGTACCTTAGTTGAACGCACATCCCAAATAGAAGGTGTGCAGGAGGCAGCTGGTTGGTGTTTCTCTCTCATCGATGTTTCTAACTCTCTATCCCTCTCCCTTTTTTCTGTAAAAAATCAATAATATATATATAGGAAACATGTCCAGGTTACGGGTTCAATCCCCTGTAGGGGCCACACAGGAGGCAGCTGATCCATGACTCTCATCATTGATGTTTCTACCTCTCTCTCTTCCTCTTTCTTCCTCTCTCTGTAATCAATTAAAACATAAAAAAAGAAAACAATCAAACCTCATCTTGCTTCACTTCAAAGGCCACACTTTTGCCATTAATCTATTCAATTTTTCAAAATACCCTTGCCATGTTCAAGAAATGACTAAAAATTAATGAAAATATTACCTGGATGAATGAATTGTATGGCTAATAGTCACCACGTAGCCAGCTCCTCCAACATCTAAGTAAGGGCCAGTCAAAGAAATCAGCCCTGGATTAGCTACCGCATGCAGATACCTAGTAGAGACCAAAGACAGTCACGTTATTTTAGGATATGAACAACTATGTAAATTTCAAAGAAAAGGGAGCTGGTAACCCCCCAAAAATTTATGGGGACTGGGTGAAAAAGTGAAGAAACTGAGAAGTGCAGATTGGTAGTTAAAAAATAGTCATGGGGACAGAAAGTAAAGCATAGGAAATATAGTCAATAATATTGTAATAACTATGTATGGTGCCAGGTGGGTACTGGAAGTATCAGGGAGAACACTTTGTAAAGTTAAGTATATGATTGTTCAACCACTACAATATACTTCTGAAGCTAATATAAAATAATACTAAATACAACTGTAATTGAAAAAAAAGTTTAAAATGGTAAAAGTATTTACTATAAATAGTGCCTGTGTTACAACAAAATTCAAAAGGGTTCATAACTTTTATGCCTGACCATAGTAGCATCAACACAAGAGGTCAAGAAAATCTAAAATTCTCCTCTAAAAAAGATATTAAACTCAGGATATGTCTAAGCTTTTAACAAGACCTGTAGTCTAGATCAGTGATACCCAACCTTTTTTTTCTTCTATCATGCCCCACCTAAGCATCTCTAAAATCCTGATGCCCCCGTGACATATAATTCTTACTATTCAAAAAGTGAACTCCTGTTCATGTGGAAGAATTCTAAAACACCATTAACTTGATCTAGACAAGCTTCCAAAGAACACGGCATCCATGAAAGAGAAGAACAAAAGAACGAAAAGACAGCTGAAGTACTGAGGAAGAAATCACTAAGAAATTGTTTAATAATAATAATAATAATATGAAGCAATATAAAAAATAGCAAATAAAGTTTCAAAACATATAACAGAGAGCTGAAATGCATAAATGTCATAATATATATTTATGTGCTGTTTATGAGGTCCCTAGAACCATAAGAAATGCAAAAAATTCACTGTTAATACCTCTCAAATTGCCCCTCTTGAAAGTCAAATTGCCTCTCTGTGGGGCAGGTGCCCCACCTTGGGAACCTCTGGTCTACATGTTTTAGAGACTAAAATAAAAGTAAATTAATGAATGAGGTAGGAACAAATACAACTGGGCACATCGAAATGCATCCTGGATTGGGAAAGGTGGGGAAACAGGCAATAAAACAATAGCCGATTCATTAGTGACAGTTTCCAAGAAGCACAAGATGAGAAATCTTGTTTTTATGCCCAAATTGCTCCCCTGTTATGCCATCTGACTAGCATTTGTTTTTGAAAAATCAGAGAAAAAAACTCAGAAGTTAAAAAAAAAAGTTTTGGAATTCATACTTGTTTATTTTCCAGAGGTCATACCTGAGCTGCAATTGGATGCAATAATCATGCGCAGTGACATTAAGTATACCCAAATATAGACACACTGCACACAAGGTAGAATCAAACGAACTACTAGGAATGGAAATGGCTGAACATACAGCATTTTGGTCTCAAAATTTCAATGAAGAGATAAAAACACTGCACACAGAGGAAACCCACAAAGCTGTTGCTAGTACATTAAAAACAACAACAGGCTATTGAAAAAACATGTTTTCAACCGCCATGAAAGTACCTTCTTTAGTGTGACTGCCTGAAGTTGCTTTATAGTTATGTACTTATCATGTCTCTCCAGGGTTTGCGAGGGAACCTTTGATAGTGGAAGCCCTAAAAACTCACCATTGTCTCCTAGTGGGATCAAATGCTTTGTCCATGAGGGAACCAGGATAAATTCTGAGGACGCCATTGGGTGTTGCTATGTAACGACGGACAATGTAAGTGTTCAGGCTGCTCATTTCCATTTGTGTCATCCATTCATCTGTGACGTGGCTGGTAGCCATTACTTCATTTCTGACAGAGAACTGGGAGACAAAGGACGACATAGCGGGGATCCTTTAAGACGCACATGAAAGGAGAGGGGACCGCTGGCAGCGCTGCCTGGCGCTCTCCGACAGGGAAGCCAAGCCCAATTACTTCTTCAGAGTCTTGCCCCAGCAGATGGGCACAGCCAAACTTGGGGGAAACAAAAGCTTACTGAAATGCAGTCCGAGGATGTGGGAATGGGATTTACTCCATTGTTCATCTCCGGGAGGCTTTCTGCTTTTAAGAGGACAGATCCTACAGAAGTATTTAGACACACACACACACACACACACACACACACACACACACACACACACACACGGCAGCTAAATCTCTGCTCCTTAAACGTCATCATAGTGATCTCAACAGACAGTAGGGGCTCTTTTCTTCTCTCTCCTGGGAAAAACAGGCCTGGGAAAGTGTCCCGGGTCTCTCACTCACACCCCCACCTAGAACACCCCTCGTGCAGCTGAGGCCTGAAAGAGCTTGCTCATCTAGCTCCAGGGCTTCTTCACCCATCAGAAGGGGCATCCCCGACCAGCTTCCCCCGGTCACATGCTGTCTTTCTGGCTCTCCAGCCGAGAGGCACAGATCCAGGGGCTGGGCTTCCCACTTCCAAGATTCACAGTCAGCAGGTCCGCCAGACCCTGCGGGACAGGGCACCCGGGATGGGGCCCCACGCCAGCACTCACTTTGAGCCCCGGGTTGGCAATGAGGCGGGTGTTGTCACTGAGGTAGGCTGTGTAGTGCTCCACCATGCGCTTTGTCTCGGGCTGGCTGAGGTGCTCGTAGGGGGAGGAAAAGCTGCCAGCAGACAGCATGACGGTTGGACTCTCTGAAAGACAGCAGACAAAGCAGGCCTGAGAACGCCGGGCCTTCCTCTCAGGCTCCCACGGAAGCACCCCTAAGCCCTGCCAGCCTGTCTGCCGTGGGGGCTCAGAGTCTCCCAGAGGAAAGCAAAGAGCTCGGCGTGGAGCTGTAATCATGAGTGAACCAGAAGAGATACACGTACAAATATATGCAAGTGCTGATATGGCCAACGTTCAAAATGCCTGAGAGCTATCCATGGTATACTTATTAGGAGTCAGACTGGGTTGAACCTGGGCTCCACCGTTTTTCGGCTGCGTGGTGTTGGGCAAAACTTGTATTGCAAAGTGTGTGTCTCTGTGTGTGTGGTGGGCAGGAGTGGGGGGGAGGGAGAGAGATAATTGCACCAACCTTACAGAGTTATGGTGAGAATTGCATCAGTTAACATATTATGTAAAGCAAATGAGTTAAATGTAAAGCACGCAGATCAGTGCTTGGCACACGGCAAGTGCTCTAAGCGTTAACCATTATTGTTCACCCTAGTATTAGTATCTAGGAAGAAAAATGGAATATTGGTGTCATTGAAAAAATAAAATAAAATAAAATAAAAAAGACTCTCACAGACAGGTACAGCCAAACTTGGCATAAACAAAAGCCTGCAGAAAGATCGTAGTTACCTAGACATGTGTAACTGTGGATCCCATCTAAGAGGAAAAGCCCTGTTCTCTATTAGGACAGAAATGCTCAGGGAATTACATGATAACTTACAAACACTACATGTTTGGCTTTGAAATTTTCCCATTATTCATTCTTATATTATTAAAAGCTTTAGAATCCTGTGTCCTACTTCATTTAAATCTATGGGTCACTTTCTATTCCTTTTATTAGTTCTCACTCATGGTGTCCTGTTTCCTTGTGGCCTAGTTATTTCTGACTGTGCTGGACATTGTACTTAAACACAAATTAGTAAGAATAGTTGAGGCCCAACAGGATGGGAATACCTTTCTCCAGAGAGGACTGTTGTGTGTTTCTGCCAGATGCCCCCCCCCCCGCCCCCCCAGAGGGGGCAGTGGTAAGGTTGAAACACATCCCAATAAGGAGACTGGATATTAGCCTAAGTGACGCATGGTGGGATTTTGGTATTCAACTAGTCCACGACTAGTTAATGCCTGAGATTCCTTAGACCACACATAACAGGAATCCCAAGTCAAGGGTTGATTTAGTTTCAATTCATCCTTACTCTCAAGATGAAGTCTGATAAGATCTCTGCTAAAAACATGTATGTGGAAGGGGTGCTTTATTTATTAGTCTCCACTTTCTGGAGACCTGGGATTTTTTACAGAGAGGAAGAGAGAGGGATAGAGAGTTAGAAACATCAATGAGAGAGAATCATAGATCAGCTGCTGGAATCGAACTTGGGACCTTTCAGTCTGCAGGCCGACTCTCTATCCACTGAGCCAAACCGGTTTCGGCTGGAGACCTGGGATTTGATTTCTGCCTCTGCCCTCAGCCATAAGCTACTTAAAGCACAGTTTAATTTCACAGTTGTTTCTTCTGGATTGGTAAATACGTTCACTGCAAAAGTGGCTTTAAGCTGTTCACTATCTTCTGTGAGTTCATAGATTTTCCTATATGTTGACCCAGGACCTACATATCATGTTGATGCTTTTCAAGAAGAATTTTTATTTTATTTTATTTTTATTTTTAAAATATATTTTATTGATTTTTTACAGAGAGGAAGAGAGAGGGATAGAGAGCTAGAAACATCGATGAGAGAGAATCATCGATCAGCTGCCTCTTGCACACCCCCTACCAGGGATGTGCCCGCAACCAAGGTACATGCCCTTGACTGGAATCGAACCTGGGACCTTTCAGTCCGCAGGCTGTCACTCTATCCACTGAGCCAAACTGGTTTCGGCTCAAGAAGAATTTTTAAAAAAGGGGTTTCCATCCAGGAGTTTTGTTGTCCTCAGAAGGATAGGTCAGGATTATGTAGTTCACCATTACAAGAGAGGTTGCTCCTAGGAATGCTGTCTCATCTCATTCTTATGCTATCAGCAGGGGGTAGCCTGGGAGATTATTATTCTATTCATATCTAAGAGGCTTAAAAAGGTTGGCTGCCTAGCAGTGTGCTGTGTTCAGGGGCCTTCATGCAGGAATGTGCCAGAGAATGAGGAGAGCTTAGGACTTAGTTAGAGTGACAAGGAATTTTAAAAAGGAGAAAGAAAACAGGAATATAAGAATCATGCAATAATATAAGAAATGTTAAAAGGGAGCACAGTATTTCAGAGACAAAAGAGTAGGGCCAGAGGTAAGAGGAGAGGCACCTTGGGGAGTGGGCCTTTCTTGTTGTGACAGAGACTTGCATTTTAGAAAAGCTTGCTGCCCTAAGAAGGAATGAGGGAGGGAGAGAACCAAGCACGAGAGAGGACACAAGGCTTTCTGTCTAGAAGGTACCCATATGCTTGTATACATACATGTGTATCTAACCACAATGGATTATATATACTGAAAAATTCTTTACTTCTTAGTGTTCCAGGAAAGACAACGGCCCTCCATCAGCTCTCCTGAGAGAGCGCTGATACGTATTTGACGCATTGCCTCAAAATCTCCATCGTCTATGGAATTAGATGGAACCCACTTATGTGCCATTCCCTTTTTATTATAATGATTTTGCTTCACTTTCATTACCAATTGGTACTAAACTGCTCTCGATGACCCCTCCACATTGTCCTGGAGTGAGAGGGGGTTCTACTGCCCAGGAGAAGTGGGTGGTGAGAGGGTCTAGTGAAAATCAGCTGCGGGCCTGAGGTCTGTCTCTGTGATATAGGATCGGTCCATTCATCTCATGCAAAGCATGTGAGTTGATAAAGTATATGTTCTGACCATCTCTATTAGGCAGCACTGGGCACCTGGAGTACAATGCAATCCCCCAAGTCTAATGCAAAAGTTTCCAGTCGTCCCCATTAAGAAAAGTAAAAGCAAATAGGTTAAGTTAATTTTACCAGTATAGTTTATGGAATCCAATCTATCCAAAACTTTATCACTCTAACATGTAATCAACATAAAAGGTTAAGTATTTTACACTTATAGTGAATCCCAACTTGGACTAGTCACACGTCATGTGCTCAGTAGCCACACGAGGCTAGTGGCTACCACACCGGGCAGTGCAGTTGTGAGGGTTACTCCAAAGGACGTCAACAGTCTAGGCTCAAGCTATTGTCTCCTCTAGGAAAACTGCTGCACTTCATCTCAAAGCTCAGAATAGTGACCTCACGTTCACCAGCAGTCGTGCTTACCTTGCCCCCACAGCACTTAGGAGGAGCACGCACATGCTAGCCCTTCAGTAAGCATTTCTTGAAAATGTGAATTAAAAAGCATCCATACTCTTGTGCATAAAAACCAAAGACAAAACCTAAATTCAACAAATGAACACAAGTAGACTCTCACCTTTTCTGATGGACATCTCTGACCCTTTCCCAGTGTCTACGCTGTTGGACCGTGTCCTGGGAGAATGCTCCCCTGATCTCCTAACCAGACCGAAACTCCATAGGACAAAGTTTAAACAAGGAATGCAAACACAACACTCTCCTGTATAACCAGCAGCCTCTGTGGTGGCTTCTATCCTTGATCCTCTCCCCACCTGTGTGCCCTCTACTAGTGTGCTGGCTGCCTCATGATACTTAGTCATAAATTTTACACCCTAAGTATTTTAACAGTGGAAAGGAGAAGTTTACAGTACTGTGAGCACACTGTGTTGTATCGACAGTGCACACCACAAGTGCCCAGCATGGGCCTGGCACACGGCAGCGTGCAATACAGGAGGTGACACCGTGGCCCAGGAGGTGACATGAGTCACATCACAGCCCTGATGCTTTCTGTGCTACCATGGGAACATCCGTGTTTCCAATAAACCCGATGGTCTCATCTATAATAGGTTAACTCAGACGATGAATGTCGAACGCCTGGCTCATACAAATACAAATTCTCTTTGGCTTTCTTTGCCTATTTCCTAAGCTCTTTGGAAGACAGGGGCCTGTGGCAGACACAGCTATGTGATACAGATATATAGGGATTCCTTTTACTATTTCTCCACCTTCTGCCCTCTATCCTCCCAAATCTCCATATCTGATTTTAGTAGGCCATCTTTGCGACTCTCTTGGGTGAACTGTCTCTGGGCCACTACAGCCCCTTTGCCGGCACTGGCAGAAAACTGACAGTGACTACGGAATAGAAAAGTGCAGCACCTTTCTTGAGTCTGAGCAAACGCTGCAGTACAATTTATACTCCCAAGCCCCCTTCAGGATCAGGGTTGGGCTGAGGCTGGGAGCTTACCGAAAATTCAACTCTTGCTTGCTTTCTCCTCCTTCCCTATCCTGTTTCCCTCACTTGGTCACTGGTTTCCTCCGAGAATCCACCCGTAATAAATCATTCACATACACATCCTCATCTCAGTGACTGCTAGAGAACTCCAAGGCCTAGCCTCAAAATGTTTTCACATTTGTATCCTGAAACTAGCGCTGCAGGCCTGTACATTTTAAAAGAATTCGAACTGATTATGTATGGTGAACGGTTATGACTAAGACCACAGAGGAAGCTGAGCAGTGCAAGACTTTACCTAGCGTGGCCAGCTGTTTGAAGTGGAGGCAAGCACTGGGCTGGCCCAGGAGGTCCAGCCGGTGGTACAGCAGCTTGCTGCTGGGCACTGTGTTGAGGTTCTTCAATTGTCTGACAGGTATTTCTGGTTGTATCACCACAATACAGAGAATAAAGGAAGTGTCTTGTACCTGAAAAAAAATGATAAAGAATTTCTAATACAGAAAATGAAGATCCCTGGGAATTCTGCTCTCTCTGTCTTCTATCCCACATGGAAAAGTATTTGATGAGGGAGTGAAATACACTATCTCTGGCAAAAGATTACATTTAATGTTTTCTATTTTCCTTTCTGAAAGAGGGAAATGAATGTATGGGACCAGAAATCATAGAGCTAACGAAGCGATTAGAAACTGGAACTTGAGTCCCTTTGACACAATGACCCCAGCCCTCCTTTGCTTTATTTAAGCAAAAGTATGGCATGAGAACATGACCTTTATGGGGTTTGTGATGTATTAGAAAATACATAGTTGATTTTGCAATGAGTGTTTTTATTTATTTTATTTTTTAAGATATATTTTCATTTATTTCAGAGAGGAAGGGAGGAGAGAGAAATAGAAACATCAATGATAAGAGAGACTCATCCATCGTCTGCCTCCTGGACACCCCACACTGGGGATTGAGCCCGAACCTGGGCATGTGTCCTGACCAGGGATTGAACTGTGAACTCCTGGTTCATAGGTCAATGCTCAATCACTGAGCCACGCTGGCGGGGCACAACGAGTGTTTTTGGAGCTGCCGATTTTGAAAGCAAAATATTACTCCGCATATACAGCCCATACCGAATCTGGTTTATTCATTGTATTCTCCACCTTCTCTTTTCTTGGTTGGAGATGACCAGGATTTCCCGTTGATGACAAGTACATATCCCGTGACTGCCTCACAAAGCTGCCTGACCTGCCACTTTAGCCCAGGGGGAGCAATGTGCTTAGCTTAGCTTAAACTATTAAGCACACATGTCAGCACACTTTCAAACGTACTTTGCTCCTAGAAATGAATGCTCACCTAAAATTTGGTGGGAAAATTGTCCACCCAAGTATCAAAGGCAAGTCGAGCTATTTAGTCCTAGCTCTTTAACTTAAAAACAGAAGAGAGCCAAACCACTTAAGTCTATTGCATCAGGAGATGGACAGAATCTATTTAAAAGGTAGCTTGTAAATAAATGAAGAGTGATAACCAGCGAAGTCAGAAATAATGCAGCTCAAAAGGTTTACTTAATGACCCCGGAGAAAATGCTAACGAGGCAGGTTAGCGCTAAGTGTAATTTAGGGTTAATGAGAATGATGGCAGAATCTTTTTAAATACGGGAGAAATTTGCATTTTCCTGGAATTGCTTTCAAATACCCCTGCCAAGGATGTTCAATTAGATTTGCAAACTAGATTTCCTCCACCCACAGAATTAGAGAATGACAGGGTGTTCCAAGGGGGCATTCACTCCTTCCCCTTCCCCTGCTCACTGAGTCAGCCTGTGAGTTTGATTCCTGGCTTTTGTGCTCCAAGGAACCAAAAGATAAAAACTTTGCTAAAGGGCCAGATTATCATTTTATAATTGTGTCTGTTCTGGAAGAGAAAAATAAGAAGTTACCCAAGTCTTGGACCTATTTGGGTTATCACTTCACAAGGTATATACAGGTCGAATCACCATGTTGTTACACTTAGAACTAATTCAATGCTGTATATCAACTGTAATCAACAATTAAAATAATTAAAGACAAAGTTACCCCAGAATACTTTATAACTATTTATGTTTATAAATAGTTTGTAACTAGAAAGGAAAACAGACTTCAACACAGGTCCTTCTATTGTGTTCTCATCTGAGAAACACAGCCTCTGCATCCAAGACTGCGATGCCCTCAAAGAGGCTCCCCATGACAGGGAGTGGTTTTCTCACTGACCGCCCATGCGATTCATGTTTTGAAGGGAAGCAAGGCTCTGTAGTACAGGAACGCTGTAATACCTTCCGATAATCCATACTTCCTTCCATCCGCACAGCGTGCAGCCTCCTCAAATGCTCAAAGATGGACTTGGGTTCTGCGGTGACAGAGTCGTAATCTCTTCTCACTCCTAACATAATCCCTCATGTTCCATTTAAATTAATTCCATGAAACAATCCATCCATACCTGTCTGCTACATGTATGAATGCTAAGCAATTTAACCAGTTAGTCTCAGCATGAGCTAAGTCTATTTGGATTATATTTAGGAGAGGAATTCCTTTTATTCCTGAGGACACGATGAGCACCTTCTCCTTAAAGGAACTCAAATGTAACTCAAAAACATATTTACTCTTCCTGCTGGGTAATCAGGCTAGCCTTTTCAACTCCAGTTTCATTATTTATTACCGTATTACCTCTTTCATTTTTCTCTTAATAGTGATGTTCTTGACAATTTCAGAACTCTGAGAACTATCTGAAGTGATTTCATGATTACACCTATTTGGCAGAGCAGAGTGGCCAGAATTTACCAGTATCACTGAAAAAAATAACATCTATCTTAAGGAGATAATATTTTTTCCAAAAATGTTAACGTTGGGTTTATTTACTCTACAAAGAAGGTCTTAAAGAATGCCTAGGTTTCCTTCTTTCTCTTTCAATGCCAACATATATAAAGGTAGATATTTTCTCAGGATATAACTGAGTTGCTTTCAATCAGGTTGTACTACAGGTAACCAATCTCCAATTTCAAATATAAAATTATTTATCAATGAAGTATTCTGGTGTCTGGCTCACCCTTTCTGATGTGAAAATTAAACAATTCATCTTTATTTAAAAACTATTAATATGAAAATTAAGAGCAGATGGTCCAATCATTCTAAAAATAAATAAATAAATAAATAATTCCTAAAGATGAGCTGACTCAGAATTTCAGAAAGACTTTGACCTTTGTTAAATCTGTACTATATTATATAATAAATACCTAATATGCTAAGTGTCTGGTTGTCCATTCAACCAATCAAAGTGTAATATGCTAATGATATGCTAAGGCTACTCAACAGCTCGCTATGACATGTACTAACCACCAGGGGGCAGACGCTTAACTGGTAGGTTAGCTTGCTGCTGGGGTCTGTCTAATTGGGACTTGAGCGAGAAGCCCTGGAGTCCTCCCGCAGTTCCTCCTGCAGTTCCTCCTGGGCTGGCCAACCTCCCAAGTCCTTCTCTAGTCCTGATTGTGCACTGGTAGGGTCCCTCAGCCTGGTCTACACCCTCCCACAATCCAGGACCCCTCGGGGGATGTTGGAAAGCCGGTTTCAGCTGATCCCGCAGGCCAGTTCGAGGGACCCTAATGATGCGTGGATTCTTGCACCAGGCCTCTAGTCAAACAATAAAATGCCAGTAGGATTAGGCTTGTAAATGTATATTTCTCAAAAACTTTCATTTAGTATTTTATTGCCTTTTGTTTACAATGCAGAAATCACTGCTGCCATGATGACGCTTTAAGAACCAAATGAGAAGGTTAGAGGAGAGGTATATCTAAACCACATTGGCTACTTCTAATCCTTGTGATTCCTAAGCCAGACACAGATCCGTATAAAGCTGTTTAATTGCCTGCATCCACCACCAGGCTAGACGCTCTATGAAGGCGGAGAGAGTATCATTCTTTTTCATTCTTCTTAGCTTATAATAATTGTTCATAAGAAGTTCTTAAAGGAATGAATAAAGAGTCATTTGGAATAAAAAAGTTAAACACTAGATATGGCCATCCAAAGAAGTGCAGGATGACTGCATTTGAGGTTTAGTGATTGAAATTTGATGAAAAACATACAAGTCCACTCTTATTTTGGTCAACTACAATATCAAGGGCCCCCTAATAGCATGTTATGGTATGCTTGCAAGAGGGAGTTAAGGACAGGAACATAAATCATATGGACAGTATGTTTTAGATTCAATTTCTTTGTGGCCCCCTCTCTGACTGAGGCTGGTAAAAAAAAAAAAAAAAAAAAAAAAAAAGCTGAAATGGGTACCACACATTAAGGCTAATGTGTCAATGCACTTTTGGTGAATGTGAATTGTCCACATTCTAATATGAAAGTTCCTTTCCCTTGGAATATGTTAGCAGAGGGCTTTATGCTTTCATATCTTTTTTTAAATTCCCAACTTTCACAATTTGAACTTAAAATGATAAAAATTCACTGGATATAACCTAAATGTGTATACATAGGGGACTGTTAAAAAATTGTGTCCATCTATAAAACCCTACATAGCCATTAAATGTTCATGCACACTAATATAGAAATGTACACTGATGCATATATATATATATATATATATATATATATATATATGCATGCCTGTGTGCACTAAAAATTTTTCTGGAAATTGACCAAAGTGATTATTTATGGGGAATGGGAGGTCAAAGCCAGGAGGGAGGGAAGAGCACAGTTTACTGTTTACTGCACATTCTTTTATATGGTTTGGTTAATTTTCATGAATAATAACTGGTTTCATAAATTAAAAAAAGGAAAATAATTATAAAACATCTGGAGTATCTCTTCTTTTCCCCCAACCACTTTAAAACTGGTAACTTTATCCGACCCAAGGTCCCTAGAATTCCTGTACCCACGGCTGCTCAGGCAATGGCTCGTCCTCTCACTCACCATCTTCCAGGCGTAGCTGACATTGTACGCCTCCTTCCCGGTCTCTCTCAGCTTGTTTATGTGCCAGGACAGGGAGGAGTTCACAGGCACCACGATGATCTGGCTGCCCAAAGGGAGGCTATGTTGGCAAACAGAAGGAAACATTTCAGGCCAAAGATAAAATTAAGCACTTAATTAAAGGCTGGGAAGAAGCTGTGAGTCCGTGGCCACCTCCTGAGTTTGAAAAGCAATGAAGCCCGTCACTTTTGAAAGAGAGAATGTGAGATTTTTCAATTTTGTAAAAGTATGCTGTCAGCTCTGCAACTCAAAACATTCCCGACCCTCTATCCAGGCACACCGCTCCCCCCCCACCCCCCCCCCCCGCCTCCCAATTCTAATTCTTTCCAGAAATGATGTTGTCTCAGATCGCTCAGTTATTACTTTACCACCAATGAGCACAAAGACCCGTTTCTCTATAGGTTACCATCTGCCAAAATAATGTATCATGGCTGGAAAAAATCCAACCTGTTCTTTATTTCAAGAGAAAATGTTGTGTGTGATGGTGCTGTCAACTTGGAATGGACACTGCGTGGCCAAGACGTTTTCTGGCATGTGGGAGAGCGGGGCCTCCGCTTAACCTTTCCTTTTGCCAGCATTTCTCAACTTGGTACAATGGGAGTATTCTTCTTAAATGAGATAACGTAGATCTGATTTTATAATTAAAGGCAAATGTAAACACAGAATTTGATTTACAAGACATGTCTCCTCAATAACAGTTCTAAGAGACCTTCCCTATTATTCAAAGTAAACATTTTTTTTTGGTGTGTGTGGCTATTATTCTTAGGAAAAAAATTACTGAGTATACTTTTGATAACACTAAAATAATTTATATACTTGTTTTATATCCTGTAATACACAATCATATTTGACCCCAAAGGATCCTATTCTCAGAGAAAGATCAATACTACAGCCCTCACCTTTTCCTTACCTTAGGATATTTTGCCGAACCAAGTCAAATTTTGGGATATTTTCATAATGAATGATGTCAGTATGAAGAGGGGGTTCTGATAGCAAATATGGCCTGGTAAGAGATGGGTGCATAAGTGTATACCCTGAAATAAGAAAAGAAAAACACAGGCTATGGAAAGCATGTTGTAGGAAGTAGTGAATCTAATAAAGTGCCTATCGTAGGTTTGAAATATGGAATACTCTGGGACGGCTGCCCAACACTCAATTTCTCAGTATGTAACTCATCAGTCCAATAAAAACTGAATTTGTTTTATGTGTTCTTGTATAAAACTCCTGAAGTGTAGAAAGATGTCCTTAAATTATCGGACATCTGTTTGATCAAGACTATTTTGGAGGTACTGGTCATTTGGTTTTCGTTTTATGAAATGTCCGATCTATCTATCATATAAACCTTCATGCCAGTAAAACCCAAAGATAACAATACAGACCAAAAAAGTCCAAAGGATTACATTCTGTGTGTCCTTCGATCCTCAAGTCTAATTTCCCGACCTTACAGATAACTGACCCCTCCACACAACACAGGAACATGTGCATCCTGTTTAGATTCATTCTGTCACATTTATGGTGTTCTACTATAAGTAGTAGTCCTAGTTATAGGACTTGTAGAAATGCTATCATTTCCTACTTGGTTATGATCAGAATACCTACAGATTTTTTTTTTTTTTCAGGATGCTAAAGAAATCACTCTTTCCCCTGATTAATTTGAGCAGTTTACCTTTGTCATCGATGAGAAAAGTATAGGAAGCCAAAGAGTCTTGGTAATACGTCACATCTTCAAGGATGTAAGCCAGGTTCACGTCCACACCTACAATTCCCAGAAGCAGGTTTCCAAAATAACAGGGTTTACTCACTGTCATGATCAAACCTATGGGTTAAAAGAAAAAAAATCCAAAGAATAGCAGAAAAGGACAAAGACAGGAGCTGTGCCCTAGTGAATCACAAAGGCTCCTATCAGCCACCCAAATGCTGCTGGGAAGGAACCAGCCACCGCCCTTCCAGATAGGGTAAGTGAGGGAGAGTGCAAGAGAAATTGTGTCTGTTGGGGGTTCAGATATCTCAGTTAGACTGAGGCAATGTACACATTTCCCACTATTTTTCACCTTGAAGGACATGACATTCCAGACCAGTGCAATCATCATCAGCACTTAATACATCATTCTACTTCCTGGAGTGAGGGAAATTCAGCTGAACTTGAAAGACCATTTAGACAGGGAGTCCAAAAACATGGGTTCTACCCAATTGTGTCCCTAGTGTATCATGCATATCTCACTGGACATAACTTCCCTGCAGCTTGATTTTCACATGTGTTTGAAGAACACAGTAGTAAGTGCTGTAGTGATTTCTAGGAGTTGTTAGATGAAAAGATGTTATGGATAAAGAAAAGCCTGTAAGGTACTATGTTTCACTAAGGCTTCCTAGCAAGAAACAGACTAATGGAGAAAAAAAAACTTAGAAAGGCACAGACTCTTGTTATCTGACCACTTAGAACTCTGACTAGCTAAAGGAGACACTAAGTTTCCAAAGGAACATATTTCTTGTCCCTTGGGCCAGGAATGTGCAAACTTTTCTGTAAAGAACCAGATAGTAAATATTTAGGCATTGTGGGCTATGTAGTCTCTGTTACACACATCTTCTTCTTCTTCTTTTTTTTAAACTGAGCTTAAAAATATAGAAACCATTTTTGGCTCACAGGCCATACAAAAACAATGGGATGCTTACAGAAGGAAAAAGGCGAAGGGGGAGAGAGAGTGAACAGTGGGCCAATGACTGGCCCTGGGCAGTAGGGAAGCTGTTCTTTCCTCCTAGCTTTACTGCTGTGTTGGGTAAGCTGTGCCACCTCTCTGAGTGAGACTCTTCCTGTGTCAGATGGGGAGGTGAGACAAAATGATCTCTGGGACCCCAAACAAATCTCCAATCCTAGGGCTCTAATTCAAACCCCAAACAAAACAAGGAATAGCATCTCTCTGCCATCCTCTTGTACTGTCTTGTGCTCGATGGCACTTCATACCTTCTCAGAAAGCCATCCTTCTGTGAACACGTGGGAAAGAGCTTTGGATCTTCTTTAAGATTTCTACAAAGAACGGGCTTTGATGCATGATGCCCACCCCAAGTATTACTGAGCAGCTGTGACTGTCAAGGCCAAGGTCATGCATCACATGGGAGGAGGAAGTGGATACAACACTGCAAAATTCTGTGAAAGTTATGCCCAGTTATAAGGTAAATAAGCACTGAGGATGTATTGTACGCATAGTGACTAGAGTTAACAATACTGTATTGTATATTTGAAAGTTGCTGAGAGATATTAAGAGTTTTCACTACAAAAAAGATGTGTAACTAAGCGAGATAATGAATATTAACTGAGCTTATTGATTTATCTTTATTTTATAGACTTCAACACTTATTGAGGATGGGATGTGTGCCTTACCCATCACTGCCTGAAATAATGCTTGGCTGGCACTCAGTAATGTTGGTTAAATGAGCAAAGGGCTGCCTGACATTTTCCCCCAGAAGAGAAAGTAACCTTATCTAAAGGTGAGCATTTTTAATCTATACACTTCTATGTGCTCTGCCAGAAATAGGAAGGATAAAAAAGTTTGAGTGTAGCAGCAGCTACCATATTTCTTCCTTATATAAAAAACATGTTTACCTAATTCTAGAAAACACACTCTCTCCAAAGGCTTGTTACTTTTTATACATGAGTTTCCTCTGAATATCTGTATTTATGAGAGTCCCTGATTAATGAAACATGAAAATAAAATTTCATATGGTGATGGTGTCTGGCTGGCTAGAAATTAATGCCTCTCCTATCTTCTCTGACAGGAAAAAATAGGGAAAAGAATAGGCAAGAATATGAAGAGGAAAAGAAAAAGAAAAAGATTGTGCTTCTCCTGAGCACATGTCATTGGCCAGGCATTATTCTAGATGTTTTACAAATATTAGTGCAATTAATCTTCACAACTGCCTTGAGGGAAATATTATTTTTTCCCATTTTACAGACCAAGAAATTTAATCATGACAGTTAAACAATTCACCCAACTTGTGACATTGGGGTGATGCATGATAATAATAGTAATACTGACAAAAGTAAAATAACAAACTATGGGTAATTGTGACATCAAAGTGATAATAGCAATAACAACAAAGGTAAAGTAAATAAATAAATAAAAAGAACAATAATTACTATTGAGAGAAATGCTAGGCACTAATAAGTCTCATAATTATAATGACTTCAAAAATTTAGACTCAAAGATAGAGCTGTCTGGTGGCTGTTGCGGGAGGGTATGATAAATGGTGATAAATGGAGACCTGACTTGGGGTGATGAATACACAATACAGTGAACAGAGGATGTGTTGTGGAATTGTGCCCCTGAAACCTGTATAATTTTGTAATCAGTGTCACCCTAATGCATTCAATAAAAAGGAAAAAAAAAAGATATTACATTTTGAACCAATGATCAAATGGGAGTTAACAAGGTTAAATAAGTTACCAAGGGCAACACCTCAGCTGTGGCGCGGATTTGCAGTCCTCTCTAATGCTAAGCCTGTATTTGTTGTCTACTCCATGTTGCTCTGCCATTGAGGCTGGATCCTAAGCACTCTGAGCTTTATGTTCCCTGCAAAGCTGCTCTCTAGTTCCATGTCTACTTCTTCTTCCTCTCATTTAGCAGGAAGTTTCCTCCAAACTCACCATCTCCCATCTCATCGGAGAAGGGGAGGCTGAAGACAGCTTCATCGATCATCCGGTTGGGAAGGTTGGTATAGAACCTGCCGACTGTGGTCTCCAGGTTACTCAGCTGGTTCAGCACCATCATGCTGCCCTTAATCACGGGCAAGGCTGTCCGGTCCGGCACGCCGTACTTCCCCGAGTTCTGTTCAGCCAGGTCTCTCAGAAAAGCCAGCTCTTTCAAACCAGTCACCCCATCTGAAATGGAAAGCCAAGGGAAGGCAATGGAACATGGTATCAATTTCTACAATAACTATGCCATTCAGATCTAATAAAGGCTTGGCTGAGGTCTTGTAATCCCTCCGCCGAATGAAGACCCCTCTGCTAAAGAGGTCTTTGCAGAGACAATCTGGACTGACAACAGAGGTACCAGTTCTCGTTGAGGATCAAAGCCTGATGCATAGCCTTTCCTCAAATAGTCGAGAGGGAAAAGGGGTTCTTCAAAAGGCAACAATGCAAAACACATGAGCAAATAAAGAAGCTCCATCTAGCAAGGATGTGTTCTCCCCTAAAAATTTAATTATATTCAAATTATTTTTCTGCATTTAATATTTGAAAGCAAAAGTCATGTCTAAGAAGTCTGCATTTAATTTAAATTAGTAGATGAAATTGTAAGAGTTCTAAAGGATAGAGGTTTACCATTTCATTTCTTAACCTCCTCGCCTATTAAACACTTGCCAAAATCTCATGCAACTAAATGAAAGCATTATGGATTGCATTTAGGAGGCCTCCAAATCTTGTGCCTTTAAGCTCATTTTAATTACAAATGTTTTCATGCTTGATACTGTTAGGATAATACTGGATTTGATTTATTTAATGTATATTTTTTATGTTTAGATGGTTTTAAAACTTTGTAAAAGATTTAGGCATACCGGGATGTATTGTCCCACAACATCTGTAATCCATAGCACAAAAATAAATTTAATAAACCTTTTAAAAATTCTGGTTTGCTATTGTTGGAATACAGTCAAAAGGATTAGTAACTGATCCCATATGGGTATGACTGTAAACAAATTCAAATGATTTCAATCACTACTGAGATTCTACCACTGAGTTTTAAAAAGGCTTAGCCTCATGTTCTTGAACTATTTAGTCATTAAAAAAAAAATCTGAAGAGTTACGTGGCATTATCATTTTTAAATAAGGAGTGTACATAACTCTAACCTTGGAAGTCTATTTCTAGAGTCATAGAAGGATCTAATGGATATTATTTCTTTCTTAACATATTGTGTTTTAATAACTTGGCTTTTGCTCCACTCATGTAATGCTTAAGGAAAGCCAGAACCAGATTATTTTTTCCCTTGCTTGACACAAAGTTGAGATGAGGGGTGGGAATGGGTAAGTGGTACATTCCAAGTAAAAGACAACACAAAAGATACACTGATCCTGACCTTATACCCCTGAGAAGCTCAGAAGCTCCCAGAGGCGAATGATAAAAGCACACAACTTAAGGCAATAAATACATTCCCTTTCTTTGTCTTCTACTGCTTGGTTTAAAATGTAAAAGAAAAGCAATAAGCAGGAGCATCTACTAGCTAAAGAAGAACAGTGTGGGATGCAAGGCTACCCAAGACTGGAAATTTTATACCACTCTGTCATGAAATGTTGTTATGTAGGGCTGGCAGTAGGGGAGCAGACTGGTTAAGTATATTGTGTAATTCTATCGTCAACACAGTCATGCTGAAAACTACATTTCCCAGAATTCCCTTTCCTTTATGCTTCCAGGTTAAAGGTGCCCAAAAGTGAAGTGTTGTGAAATTTAATAGAAGTGAGAGAGGGTGAGAGACAGACACAGAGGGAAGGAATGTGCTGGTTTGTCCTGCTCATGCTGATCTGATTCAGTTTCGTTTCCTAGCTGTTGGCTTGCTCACCAAGGGCAAGCCCAGATGATTTACTTAGAATTCCCAGGGGTACAGCCACAAAAAGCCAATGACCTCCCACAGACTTCTACACTAGCTTCTAGAAATCCTTAAAAACTCCAACGTGTCCACCTATACCAGAGCTGGCTACTAAACATTGTCCACTCTTCTTTATTTTTCTAGTTTCCCCATAATTTTGTACACTGTAATCCTGATGATAAAACTGTTAACACCCAAATTCTCAGGGAGGTTCTGCTTCCTTACTTGAAGCCTGACTGGTCAAGTAAGGGGATGTGGCAGTGCCAGTGAACAGTGCTCAGAGATGGACAGCACTAGGAGAAAATGGCAGTGAGCACATGTGTGTGTGGCTGGATTAAAGGGAAAGAGAGAAGAGATGGGATGGTGGGAGGGAAGTCACCAGAGGTTTTAAACAAGGAAACTATCAGGGCACAGCAGGTGCATATGATTCTCTGGTGGGAAGCAGGATCAGTGAAGTGATGGGTGATAGCAACGAAGCTTCTTTTCTCAGTGTCTGCCTCAGCAGACCTCCAAATCCAATGGAAAAGAAGTGACCCCTTCATCTTACGTCTCCTCACTCCTGTACCATTGCACTGAACTTATCTGCCGGGTCGGTCTGTCTTTCTCACTAGTTATGACCTTCCCAAGGACAGGCACTTTGTGGGATGTAGCTCTAAAACCTCAGTGCATGGTTACATTGTAGGCTCAACACATTTTCCTTCCCCTCCTGTCCCCTTCCTTTCGGTCCCTTCCCTTTCCCGCCCTCCCTTCCTTTTCTCCATCCTTGCCTTTCTCCTAAGTATGGAAGAAGCTAAACCATATGGAAAAAAAAAGTGACGGGCACCCAGAGGAAACACCGAAAGGTATGTGCCATAGGAAAAACCGGCCATCCCTGCCCCTCACAGCTGTGCTCGGCGGACAAAGGAAACGGAAACCCTATTCATGCCTGAGAAGCTCAGGGTCCTGTGAAAAGTGAAGCGAGAAGGCGACAACAATACGGAGATGGGAGCATCACCGCAGCGTTAACCGGCAACACGCACAGCACACCGGGGAACAGAATAGGAACAGAGCACCGGCCAGCTTGCCTCCGAGCTGTGGGAGACAGGGAGTCACACCATCTCTCCTTCTCCCCCAAGTGGCTTTGAGGCCCGGTGATTTACCAGGTACTGTGTCAGGACCTTTAAACGCTTCATGTCTTGCTTACTTATTGCCATGGCAAACCCTACATATATTTTATTATTTTCTTTTTACAGATTAAACTGAGGCCTAAAAAGAAAAACATTACTTGGAGTAAGCCACGCAGCTAATACATGGAGACTAGAACTCAGAACCTCCAGGCCACACACCGTGTGCTCGTCCACGTGTGTGCAATCCACAGAATACCTGGGAACGATCCCTGCTGGCCAAAGCTCACATTCCTAGACCCCACCTAAGGGAGACCGCATTTTACAAAAGCAACTTAAAGTAATCCTTAGCACATTAAAATGTGAGAACCGCTGCCCCGAAAGCCACGTGGTTCTACATGGAATCTGGAAGTGGACAGCAGACATACCAGACCGTAGGTGGGCAGGGGTGCTGGATCAAGACATGGCCTATAAAAGCAAGGGCTGCCCAAACCAGTTTGGCTCAGTGGATAGAGCATTGGCCTGCGGACTGAAGGGTCCCAGGCTCGATTCTGGTCAAGGGCATGCACCTTGGTTGCGGGCACATCCCCGATAGGGGGTGTGCAAGAGGCAGCTGATCAATGATTCTCTCTCATCGATGTTTCTAACTGTCTATCTCTCTCTCTTCCTCTCTGTAAAAAAGTCAATAAAATATATTTTTAAAAAAATAAAAGCAAGAGCTTTGGCCACCAAGGAGCCTGAAGAAGGAGATACTTGGGGAAGAGAGTGATGACTGACAGGTGGGGAGACAGGTCATGGCAGAGAGGCTAGAAGATGGAGTGCAGTCAGACTGAGGGATGGGGAAGAGCAGAAGGAAAGAATAGTGAGCTTTTCCTCAGAGGGGCCAACTGACTACACACTTTCACATGCCTCATTTAAGAACAAAAACAAAACAAAACAAAAAATCAACCTTAACGGGCACCTTGCAAGTGCCAGGCCGTGTCCTGTGTTTACTATGCTAACAAATCTTCACCACAAGCCCAGGGAAGCTGAGGAGGAGGAAGTAGCAGAGAGGCTCAGGGGCGATCCTGCAGGGAAGTGTGACAGTCACAGTCCTGCACACCTATCGAGGTCAGTACCGTGACTTTCTGCAGCTTAAATCAATGAAAAAACAAACCAAAAAAACCCACTTAGTAACCTCGATATAGTATGAAAATCCCAGACTATGCAGGAGAATCCTCTGGGGAGTCACACAGAATCCTCTGGGAGACCACATACCTGGAGAAAGTTTAGAAACAAGCTGTTGTCTGAAGAGAGAGAGAGAGAGAGGAGGAGAAAGGACCTTCTAACACACGCCCTGAATATCAGCATCAGCTGCAGAGAGACGGCTTGGAAAGGAAGCTGCTCAGTTCCCTCTCTGCATATGGCCTCCATCAAAGCACATCATTGTGGTTCTTTTTTTATTTTTATTTTTTTGAAAGCAGCATACATTTAGAGAGAACTTTCATCTGAAAGGAAAAATCACCAAAACACTACCTACCGTTCATGAGGGCATAGGTGAGAATCATCACGGAGTTGTTTAGAAAGCTATTTTCTTCATTGATGATACGGAGCGTCGCCTTTTTATCTTCTTCCTTTGATGTGAGGCCAGCTGACAGGTAAATGATGACCATGTCTGTATCTAAACAAAACATACAAACTGTTACATTGGGTTCTGGCTAATGGCAGCTGTGCAGTTCCTTTGTCTTTTCCCCCCTGGACTGTCCTGCCCCCAGGACCTGCCTGGCCCACCGTTCCTACTCCTTCCCATCTGATGCTGGGCCTTTCATCTCCCTGCCTCTGCTCTGCGTCCATCCTGCACTTTGCAGGCAACGAGGCCTCGCTTACTAGTATCCGCTGTCAGGTAAAGAGAGGCTCCTAATATATTTCTAGATAAAAGAAGAGCTCCTTTGGGCACCAATTTAGCCATCCCAAATGGAAATGAAGATTCAGAATCCAATTTAATCTTTTCCTCTGTGGCTCAGGATATAGATACAGATATAGATATATCTATGTCTTTTTTTTTTTTTTTTTTTTTTTTTTTTGGTGGTGGTGGTGGGGGGGGGGAGGGCGCTAGACTTTAAAAGTGGTGGTTCTTTCAATGCCCTGAGACATGTACAGTTCTTTTCCCTACACTAAGTAGCTGCTGTACATGTTTGTTTTGAAAACTCATCAAGAGCCTGGTTTGATTCCCAGTTAGGGCACATGTCTAGATTTTGGGCTCGATTCCCAGTAGGGGGCATGCAAGAGGTAGCCGATCAATGATTTTTCTCTCTTCATGATATTTCTATCTCTCTCTCTTCCTCTCTGAAATCAACAAAAATATATTTAAAAACATCTCTCTTTCTTTCCTTCTCCTTTCCTCTCTGAAATCAATAGCATATATAAACAACAACCAAAAAAATGTGTCACGAGCCAGGCTACCCGTGTTCAACTCGCAGCTCTGCTACTTCCAAGCTGTGTCTGGGTGATGTAGGCAGATTTTGTAACCTCTGGACACCTACATTTCCTTGCCCATAAAATGGCGCTGGCTGTGCTTACTTTATAGGGTTGATGTGAGGACTAACAGGTTAATTTGCATAAAGAGTGAGAGCAAAAGAGTGATTGCCAATAGAGGGCAAAAGACAAGAGAAACACAAAACAAAAACAAAATGAAACAAAGAGAAAAACAGGTGTAAAGCAGCACCTGTGACTTAAAATGAAAAACTATTCTCCATCGAGGGCTAACGGGTAAAGTAACTGAGAAGCCCTTGCAGGTCTGTGGATAGAACTTTTTTCAAGTGGATTTTCTCAGAAGAGTAACTGCAGATTCCCTGCACTAGGGTCACGGTGATGGGAGCAGAGGCAGAGCTGTGGCTTTCATGGAGCAGGGGAAGGAAGAGAACTGGGTTTTTTACCTTTTCTTTGTAATATGAGATTCTTCGATTTGATTATATATTGTAAGACATCCTGTATACGAGTTTATCATTTTATTAAGAAATGGATATTTATATAATATGTTATATGCATCTTTGTTCACGAGATATTTCTCTTTCTTTGTAGTTTCTTTATCTGGTTTTGGAAGTAGGATAATGCTGTCGTCATGAAAAGAGCTTGGAAGTGTTTCTTCCTCTTAGATTTTTTTGGGAACAGTTTGAGGAGGACAGGTAATAGTTGTCCTTTAAAGGTTTGGTAAAACTCTCCTAGGAAGTTGAGTTTTACAGGGCTTTGGTTCGCTGGAAGTTATTTGATTATTGCTTCTATTTCATCAGTTGTTACTGGCCTCACCAGATTTTCTGATACTTTCTGATTCAGTTTTGGAAGAACTTTTCTAGAAATTTGTCCATTTCATCCACAATGTACAGCTTGTTGGCATATAGTCTTTCATAGTATTTTCTTACAATCATTTGTGTTTCGCTGATGTCAGCTGTTATTCACTGCTTTCATTTCTGATTTTATTTATCTGGATCCCATCCCTTTCTTTCTTGATGAATCTGGCTAACAGTTCATCAATCTTGTTTATCTTTTCAAAGAACCAGCTCTTGGTTTCATAGACTTTTTGTAGGTTTTGTTTGTTTGTTTTTGCCTCTATGTCATTTATTTCTGGTCTAATCTTTATTATTTCCTTCCTTCTACTTTCTCTGAGCTTTTTCACTGTTCTCTTCCTAATTCCTTAAGTTGTAGGGCTAAATCATTTATTATTTTTATGGTAATAATAATTATTTTTTGAGCAAGCCTAACCACCGAAATCAACCATACAGAAAAAACCTAATGTTTTTATTTTTTAATAAATATTTTTATTGTTGATACATCAGAATGTTTTTAGACTCCAAGCAGGAGGTATGTGAAACTAGAGAGAGGCTCCAACAATAAGGTGAACTGATGCATAGGAACAGAGAAAGTTCAGGTCTGTTCCTGGGCAAGAATAATTGAGAGAATTCATCAGGTGGTGACATGGGTGGATATAGAGCAGGCTTGTAGCAAACATATACCCATGGACCCTGTGGGGAGCCAGAATCTGCTTGCAATACATTTTCTATGCTTTTGCTTAATATTCTGGTCCTCAATTTCATTCTCGGCTTCATGAGGCACAATCCTGAAAATAAACTTGCTTGCTGTTCCACTTATCATCAGGACTATAAAGACTGCTTTCACTATGGCTTGTAATTGATTTATTTTTCTTTCTTTTTTCTTTCTTTTTTTTTCGCAGGTAAAAGAAAAAATAACTTTTAATTATTAGCAAGATAGAACAGAGATGTGAGGGTGTGGGTGTAGGACGACTCACAAACATATTGCTCGTCTATCAGCCAAGAGCCCCGCCCATAAAAGACAGCAAATAACTTTAAATATATATATATATATATATATATATATATATATATATATGGTTGATTTTTCACAGAGAGGAAGAGAGAGGGATAGAGAGTTAGAAACATCGATGAGAGAGAATCATCGATTAGCTGCCTCTTGCACACCCCCTACTGGGGATGCGCTCGCAACCAAGGTACATGCCCTTGACTGGAATTGAACCTGGGACCCTTCAGTCCCCAGGCCAACGCTCTATCCACTGAGCCAAACCGGTCCCAGCAAAAGACAGCAAATAACTTAATCTAAGCTCATGTCCTCCTCTTCATCTTTCCTGCCCTTCCCATCCTTCTGCTCGGATCTGGCACTGTTCTGCATTGCTTTGGCAAAAGCTTCCACATCACCCTTGTTGGCAGCCTCCACAGCCTCTGCAGGCAGGTCAAATGGGCACATGAGGGGGCCCAGCTGCCTTGAGGCCAAGACCGCTCTGAACATGCCCAGAGCTTGCTGCAACTGGGGGGAGGTCAGTGTGTTCTGGATCTCCACGGTGGCCTGTGGCAGCGACTCCCCAGAGGGCAGGTAGGGTAGCAGGCGCTCTTGGATGTCCGTGTTGGTGAGAACATGATCTCGGGCATCAAGACAATGGCCAGGTCAACTTGCTGGCTGCCTCCTGGCCTAGCTGGCACATTCATAGTGGTTGGAATGCTCTGGAGGTTGCTCAGCTAGATGAACTGGGCTGGGCTGGCTGCTGTGCTGGTTCCATTACCTGGATTGTGTGGGGGGCTCGGGTTGGTTACTGAGGCAGCTGCTAGAGCAGAAGAGGCTGGGGTGGCATGGGCAGAAGAGGTGGTGGAGGATGGGTTGACCACTGCTGACTGGCTCTGGGAGCTGGATGAGGAGTTGTTTGCCAGAGGCCCTCCACTCCTCAGTAAACTGGCCAGGCCTGGCCCAGTCAGGGCCCCTGAGGCTGGTGGGGTCAATGAGCTGCATGAGCTGGCTGTGGCTCATGTTCCCCAGCAGGGTCTGCAGGCAGCCCTTGGTGCCCAGTGCAAACAGCTCATGGCATCCACTCCCACTCACACCCAGTACTCCAGGCATCTGTGGGTTGTTCAGATACTAGCAGACTTTACAGCAATGCTCCTCATCCTGGTCCGCCTTAAGTTCCTGTACCCAGAAGAAGATCTGTTTGGATCCTGCCTTGAACTTGAGTATGTAGACCCTCCCACGGGGTACTGTAGCATGGGCCTAAATTCAGTCAGGGAAGATGATCAGATCATCATCCACATTCCCAGACATCCTGTCTTTCCAGCAGAAGTGAATGAGGGATCCGTCTGCTGAATATACATGAACCCTTTTCTTCTTAAAATATATTTTATTGAGGGAAACCAAGATGGTGGCATAGTTAAACACCTAAACTGCTGCCTCACACAATTTCAAAACTACAACTAAAAGACAAAACGGACGTCATCCAAAACCACAGGAAAGGTGGCTGAGTGGAAATTCTACAACTAGAAGGAAAGAGTAAAGCACACTGAGATTCAGAGGAGCTGCAGCAGACAGAGGTACAAAAATATGTGTGCGGAGAGGACTGGCAACTGAGTACGTGGCTGGCTTTCTCAAGCAGGAGAGAGACAAATGCTCCCAACTGCTCTGAACTCCAGTTCCAAGTGAGACCCTGGGGACCCAGACTCATATGGGGAGAAACTGGTCTGTCTGGCAGCAGGCGAAACTTGAGGGTGGCTTTCTCTCAGAGGTGCTTGCAGGAATTAGTATGGAACACTTAGATCCAGGGGCCACGTTGGGCAGGGCTGACAAGAAATCAATGCTGTCTGCTCCACCCTGAGATTCCGCACCATCCAAGCTGAGCACAGAGGCTTTTGCAAGTCTTGTCTCATAAGGGTCTCTCTGGCACAAAAGTTCTCCCAGCATAGACACAGCCAATCCTCACAGCCAATTGGCCTGGAGGTCAATTCCTTCCAGTGATACCAAAAACAACCAAGGCTTAACTACAACAAGACTGTGCACACAGCCCACAAAAGGGTGTGCCAAGAGGGTCTATCTCAGGTAAATGAGGAGGCTGAGCCACTTGGCCCTATAGAACATCTAGCACACAAAGCGACTCTATCAACTCAGGGAAGCAGCCAAAATGTGGAGACAAACAAATAAACAAACAAATAAACAAAACAAAACAAAACAAAACAACAACAACAAAAATCAGGTCACAAATGAAAGAAATGAAGAAAAGCAAACTACTAAATATAGAGTTCAAATCCAAGGTTATAAGGTTTTTCAAGAATTTCCTAGGATAGGCCACTACATTTAGGACCAACTAGAAATTAAGCATACACTGACCGAAAT